CCGGTCAGATAAACGCTAAAGCAAATAAATCCGCTACTTTAACATGCAGGTCACCGCAGGTGTCTGTTTATTTTATTCGTTAAATATTTCATTTGGCCGGCTAGGGCCAATTACGAGCGCGCCAAACGGCCGGCCTCGCCGTTTCGCTCTGACGAGCCCCGAACTCTGACGCTTTCCGCGCGACGATTTCTCGTGTCGCAACAGGAAACATCCCTGTAGCGCTTTCCGCTAATCGCGGACAGCGTCCAATTGGAGTCTTAATTGCGAGTCCAGCGTAGATTTTCATCTATTTTTGACTTCGTGAGCAGATTAGCGTGATTATTTGATAGCGGAATCGTACACGGTAAATCTGAGAATCAAGCCGAACATTAATTTGAAATGATATTTATCTATTAAATTATGTGTACTGAACATCATCTTCGCTGTCAATTTATAATTTTCTGTGAGAATTTCCATTTTCTCACTAGACAAATAATTGTTACTTCTATCGGATTAAAAATTAATATGGACATAAACTGTTTCGAGACTGAAACATGAATATCCTATGTAGATTATGAGAAGTGGTATGTAAATTTAGCGCCAAGATATCCATAAATTCCCGAATTCTATTTAACACGCGAAGATACAAATAGACGTATGCACAAGTTTTAAATATTGCATAATTAAATTCCGATTGATCGCTCGTCTTTTTGTTCGCGCATTAATTTCCCGCGTGAATCCTCTCGCGTATCTTTTCGATGAATTCAACGAAATGCAGCAACGAAAAGAAACCTGGAGCAACAAAATCTAACGCCATCCGCGTTCCTGTCGTTGCAGGTGTGGTTTCAGAACCGACGCGCCAAGTTCCGCAAGCAGGAGAGGCTGGCCCAGCAGAAGTCCACGTCGCAGAGCGGCATCGGGGCCGACAGCGGCGCGTCTAGTCCTGTGACCGGCACCGTGAAAGCGGAGGGACGCTCGCCGAGGAGTCCCGCGACGCCGCCCGGCGGCTCGAACAGCGTGCTGTCGTCGAACGAGATCAAGCCGATCACCAATCAGAGCCTGGTGAACGTGAAACACTCGGACGGCACGGACGGCGGCTCGCCGAACGCTCGGGGTAGCAGCAGCGGCGGCGGCACCTGGGGCTCCTGCAGTCCCAGGCCCTTCTCGGCGGCCCTGCCGCCCTATCTGCTGGATCCGTTGCCGCTAAAGACCGCGAATCTCTACTAAACCGTCTCCCTCCTCCCCCGTCACTGGCGTGGCGGAGAGTGTAAATACAGAGAGCCGCCCGCTCGTGAACGCGGAAACGACACGCTGTTCAGAGAGCGCCCCGGATTTTTCTCGGGCCTCAGCCTCCCGCGAATCCGTCGGCGTCCACCCTCACATGCGGTATCCTTAACACGAAGGACTCCGGTAGGACGCGCTGCTGATATTTTTGACAAAGATACTTTTAGGCAGTCAAGAGGACAGAAGGTGCGGCGGCTTGCTTTAAGGCAGCGTCCGCTGAGATGCATTCTGCAATTTGCACGCAAGCCATTAAAAAAGTCAAGAATCATGAGGTAAATATCACGTAGATTATTAAATTGAATTTCGATGATTTAGAAGCCAATCGGACACAATGTCTCGTAAATTTGATAAGGAGGACATTTTTTTTTTCATTCGAATCTTAAACAGCCGGAATGCATCACGCTTGTTTTGCATTTTCCTGTGATAAATGTAGAAAGTAATATATATTTCCTTGATAATCTTTTTTCATTGTTCTTTAATTTACTACAATGTTGACATATTTGTAGATAATAGTGTATATTATGTCATATGAAATATTGTTTCTAATAATGCTATTATATTGTATGACACTTAACAAAGTAATTTTAAAAGAAGGCACAACTTGGGAAACGCTGCTTTAAGGCATTGCTACCCGGTTTGAAACCGAGACTACTAGTTCAAAATAATCGAAAGTAGTGTGAATGGATTTAACCTCGTATTGGTTTCAAATTTCGGTTAATATCGAGAATAATAGAGTTGCAAACGCATTTACTTCAGACGAAAGCTTTAATGTTCTCGAGAAATAAGAGTAAAACATTATGAAATTATATTGCTTTGCTAAATATGTCTTTACATAATTTTATATTAAAAAAAATTCCATCCTGACAAAAAGCGCTAAAATTTAATTTAAATACAATAAATAAACGCTAAATCATAATTAAAAAATTAAGTTAAAGATTTTTATAAAAATTTCTTTATTTCACATCTTTTATTTTATGAATGAATAAATCATACTTGCGAGAATTGAATGAAACAATAACTTTAAATGGAGATTAATCTATTTGAATAAAGTAATTATTAATTTAACTGTAAGATAATCTTGAATTACTTTAAATATTATATTACATTTTTAGTAATTTATTCCTTTTATCATAATTGTAAGGAACGTGTGAGCTTTATATTTAAAAAGACGATACATTATTAACCATGTTATTTAAATCCTCGTGGAGCGTTAAACTTTTGTTTCCGTCTGCATCTCTATTATTTTCAATCGACAATGCCGAGATAGAATTAACAAGAAACACAGCGTAGAATAGTATCTGTAAAAATACTATTAATCTCTCGCGAACATCACTGGACTCACTTCAGACTTAGTTCACGGATCATTTACCGAGATTGATTTACGTACTGAAAATTATGGCCACATCGTGAAAATCTCCTGCGACATTTATTGTGTAGTAGCGAAACATGTACTTCTCCATAGTAAAATCCTTGACGCAAATACCAAATGTGCTTCGCACTGTGCGCGATTCCAACGACCTGTCGAATAGCCGATCGATCAAATCTTAAAGCAGCGATTAATAGCCGGAAAAGGAAAAAAAAAGCAGAATCTTGCTTTTGCGTCAAAGTAAAAGTGATTCTCGATGTATGAAAACTCATTCTGACGAATCGGGAGTGAAAAAAATTCGGAAAACGAAATTATTGCATTTATTTTTCTTTCAAAGTTGATTAAACCTACATCAATTCACTAAAACTGTTATATATATCTTCTCTATCTATGTTAAAGATGTGTTGTCTCTATATATTTAAAAATATCTGTAATGTATATTAGTTGTCTATATATATATACGGAAAATCGATAGCCGAAAACATGATTATGGCTATCAATCTACTATCGATTATATCAATACATTTTTGTCATCGACTCGCAACTTCTTTTGCAATTGCGTGCGATCTTTGTGAATTGATCTTTTTATTCGGCGAAAAGAGAAATTTAATTACCCAAAATCTCTGTCTTATATCGAGAATTGCTGTAGTACAGGACAATTGATTCGCATTAATTCGCAGATCGACGGAATTTCTCTTTAGGAAGTCCTTAAAATAAATACTTACATACCGTCCTATATGTCTTGTACCAAGAAGAGCAAGGGTACCTGTCTTATCACAATATACGATGGACAATTTTCGGCGGCGATGTGACATGCTCGTCGCGCGCCGATAACGAGCGCATCTTATTCTGCGTATGTATAGTTTATCGATTACGACTGAATCTATTTTATAGTGAGATGTATAAATGTACATTAGTTAAGACGAAGGTATGTATAGTTCACCCGAAAGTATTTTTTTTCCTCCCACAAGTCTCTCGTGAAATTTGCTTCAATTTTTAGAAGGCCAACGATCAAATATTTTAGCTCCCTCTATATCAGTGTTATTATCAATAAAATTATAGACATATTTGAAATCGCGTTAAGATCTCCATTTTGTGCAGTTTCTCGTGAAGAGAACACTTGTTTGTATTTCAATATAATATTTTCGTAAAGTATTAAACGGCGACTGTGATTAGGAAAAATTCGTGTCGGATATTTAACGAATAAGAGCTCACCACTGGTTGTTAACGCGATTAAAAATATCGAAATTATTACGAAACGATATTTTGCAGAGAAATAAAGCCGTTGGTCCTCTGAAAATTGATGGTTTTAATATGCGGAAATTTCTACCGTGTCCTGAGGCGATCCATATCCCAGTTCGATAACGAATGTGATTTTTTAACGAGACACTTTTACAATACTGCGTATTACTGGTGCGTAGCGAGCCACACATTCGCTCGTCTCCGAGAAAGACGCGGATTATCGATTATCCGCGACGAGAGGGGAAAGAGGCTCGTCTCCGCAAGCCAGGAAGCGTTCGTGGACTCTGAACAGCTTCGTTGCTCCCGCCATTATTGTTAAGGTTAACGAATGGTAATTATCGATATGTGTGAACTGAAACTTGTACAGTTGTTGCTATAAATATATGAAATTAGTGTTTTACACCATACTTATACTCATTCTCTCCATTGATTGCCGAAATCAGTAATTCCCATAAAATATTTCATTACATTGTTTATCTTAAACTATATATCTAACAGTCGACATTTCTATTTATTCTATTTACATTTCATATTTTTTTTAATTCTATACGTCATTTTTTATTATTTAAATATGCAAGTATTATGAAAAATGTGAAAAATCATATACGTATTTATAGATATACATATCGCAAGAAAGTGACACAAGACAAAAATATAAAATTTAGGAGATTGTTTCTGATTGAAGGCCGATGTATTTAGAACACAATCCGAATAATACGAAAAAATTTCGACTTGTGTCACTTTTCTTGCATTAAGAATTTCAAATTAATTACCTGCATTCATTCGGGTAAAGAAAATTGTCCAGAATTCCAAGTATACCTTTATTGAAAATCATAATTAAATTAGTTTCTCGTCTTAGTCGTCGGTTACATCGTTGCTGCTGGTCGTGGCCCGGTTATATAGATTTTTATTCGTATTTATTCATTTATATCGTCCGCGGATATTCGCGCCGCAGTTAATCAGATGATAAGTTATTACGCTGTAATTTTTATCTTCGAATTAAAAATTGTTTAGCGAAGAAATAGCACTCGTCCATAATAATGTTCTCGCGATTGTCGCTGCATAATTTTGATTTGCCGCGCGAAATAGTTAAAAAGCTCTGCATTTTTCATGCATTCTATTTCGCAAGCTAATGTGTGAAATCGAAAAGTATTATTTAAAAGTTTTAGGAGAAAATTATTATTATCTGTTGACGATTTCCCTCGCCATCGGATCAAAGTGCATTTTTTATTTACTGAAAAAATCTTCGCCTTGAACTTTGTTGTGTAATTTTTTAAAGCACTTTTCAAATTTCTACTTATTTCGATGAATTTAGTTAAAATTAAATAGTCATTCAAATTCAGGTGATAGTAAATATAGAGTTTTTAATTTATCTCGAATATCCGTAAAACAAATTTTGTCCAACAAGAAATAAATAGAAATTTAGAGATTAGAAATTATAAAGAAAGGTTCCACCTTCCTTTTTCTCGAAAAAAAATTGAAAAAAAAGTTTAAACAACAATTTTGGTCAACATATAAATTCAGAAAGATTTGCAAATATTTTTTTAGTAGTTTTCAAATATTTTCTCAAAATCTCGCGGATCGATTTTCACAGTCGTAATCTCCAATTTCCTGAAAAAAATAAAAATAAAAAAGGAATAAAAGTTTCGTACGTTCGTAATCGCTCGTCATTAATCGTTTGCGCGTAGCGCAATCGTCATTGAAAATCGCGCAAACTGCTGCGAAATTTACATGGGAACGCAAGAGAATCGCCAAACATCCCGCGAGTAAAATCACTTGCAGTTTGGCTCGCACGAGGTGCTAACTCATAAATCTCATGAAATTTTCACAGCAATCCGTGCAACTATCGTAACGATGGGACGAGAATGAAATCTAATTGATTGCAGGAATAAGTCCACATACCGCCGATAATTTGCAATAAGTTGATAATATGATATAATAGATAAAGTGTCGTTCTAATGATGTTACTTTCTCCTTTACAAGATTTGAAATTTTAAAGTTAAAGTAAGTTTCAGAGTAGACGTCTTTAAAAAGTAAATGTACTCATTAAGCCTATTAATCAGCACACTCGGGTACTTTTTCTTCTTAAATTTCCACAATTTTCCTATTTCTTTAATATCAAAGCTGCGTATGTTTCAGGAACGAAGGGAAATAGAATTGCATTCTTGTTAAAACGACATCTTCAAACTTGTGTCCCTGTTCGTACATTACGGATAAATGAATTATTAATTGAATAATTAATTCACTCGTAATACGATCAATGCGCAATCCCGCATCGCAATAAATTATCAGCAGTCCGCGGCGATTTATCCGTGCGCGCGTTCGATCTCCATCAATCAGACATCATCATTCTCCGCTACGGCGCCGTTCGCAAATAATGGAAGCGTAGTCATCGACATTATCGAATCGTCGTAAGCTAGGAAAGGAGAAATCGAGATTCCCGGAGCAGCGCGTTCGTCTGTCGTCGGATATACAGTCAGACGCCTCTATATATAGATGTATTTACATTAATATATAAGACTGGATCGAAGGTTTCCTCGAGCGGCGTGTAAAAGTGGCCCGCCGATTAGGCCATCGTGAGGGTGCCCGCGCCAATTCCGAAGCCCACGCCCTTAGGCCCGAAGTTTCGGCTGTAGCAGCTTCGACAGTAAATATCCCCGTCCGGGCCGTCGTTCAGGTTCGTCGAATCTAAGGAACGATGACACTCGCCGCAGCTGAAGCATCGCTTGTGCCATACGCGATTCTTCGAGATCATCTGCTCGGCGGCGTATACCGGATAGCCGCAGCGCGAGCAGCCGTGTCCGTCGTTTCGCTTTTGGCCAACCTGAGGCTTGGAGTCGATGCTGTGGAAAAAAAAACAACATTATCTAGGAATCTGATTATAAAATTGTAAATGACAGATTCATCGATTTTTAAACGCTCTTGCAGATAAAAGTAAAATATTTTGATGCTATTGTAAACGAAATCTAATGCTCTCTATCGAATAAGCACACATATTTAATTATTATATGCAAATAATTTATTTTTCACACGATTACTTAGTTGTTCAATGCCAATTTTAATCCGAAATGGATAGAGAAAGAGAGAGAGAGAGAGAGAGAGAGAGAGATTATCAACATCGCTATCAATCATCAAAGTTTCCGCGATAACAAACTTTCGCAATGCCGTATTTCGCATCATGTTTCAGACGTGCAGAAACTAATTACTCTCGGGTATTGTTAAAATACACTTACTATGAGGGAGCATGATCTCCATTCGTTGAGACGAGAGTCGGTTTGTGGCCGAATCCGAAGCCTTTGGGCCCGAAAAGCTTTCCGTAGCACGAGCGGCAGTGGATTTCCTTGTCAGGGCCATCGCATGCCAGCATAGAATCCAGGGGTCGGTGACATTCGGCACAATTGAAGCACTTCTTGTGCCACATGGTGCCCTTGGCGAGCTGTTGTTCAGCGGCAAATACCATGCCACCGCAACGGGGGCAGCCCTGCCCAGCTGGCGCCTTGATCGAGGTCGTATCAGGATTATAATAAGGTCGACTGGCCGAAATTTCTTCCTCCCTGAAAATAATCAACGCAATTATAGTATAGTGTGCTGTTTCTGATTGACCGACTTTATTTTATTTACCTTTTATCCGCTAGAGATTTTTATTTTAATAATTTTATTTAAACCGAATAAGCAGTAATAAAATATGCAACAGGAAATGTATATATATATACATAGTTTTGAAATTCATAAATTTGAATTTAAATCTTAGTTTTATCTCCCGATTTTTGTATCTGCTAATTCTTTTATACACCTTATTTCTCGATTCATATCACAAAATGAAATCACGTAATCTATATGTCACATTTATGTAGCATATTTTTCGACGAAATTCGTCTGAGATAAATTTCCCTTTATCTTCAATACGAATGCACTAAAAATATGTACATATTTCACATTTGCATAACAGAATCAGCCCTAAATTGATTCACAAATTTTCTCGATCTATTAGATAAAACATTTTTATGATTTTATTTAAATAATCAGTTTCAATAATATTCTATTTAAATCAACAATTTTGGCGATGTTATAAGATCATTGGAAATTCCCGGGCCTCCCGTTTAACACGCGTTTAGAGACTCGGCCGGAGCACGGTTATGTAAATCGAGTCGTATTTATAGCGACGGACGTAGCAGGGTTAAGTCCTAGATTCGACATCGGGCTCAACTTACGTGAGTCCGTCGGTTTGGAGGAATCCCGAGCCACATGCGAATCCGTATCCGTGCGGTCCCCACTTCTTCCCGTAGCACGTCTTGCAGTAGACGTCCCGGTCCGGGCCGTCGCAGGCGATGATCGAGTCCAGGGTCTTGGTGCAGTCACGGCACTTGTAGCACTTCCGGTGCCACTCACGACCCTTGGCGAGCACTTGCTCAGCGGCGAAGACGACACCACCGCAGCGAGGGCATCCCTTGCCGGGCGGGGCCTTGATTATTGCGGTGTCGATCACGGTGGTGCGTGGAGCTGCATCGCTGCATCGCATAGGATCACCCCGCGTTATCTCGGAACGTATTTGTTCGGCTGATATAGCCAATCGTTGAACCGTGCGAGTAGGGGAAAAGCGATTGATTTACTTGTCCATTATTTCATTGTTTTAGATAAATCGGGTGCATTTGGAATTTATACCAAAATGTAACGGAAAAATAGAACGATTTCCCGAAAAGAAATTTTTATTTTCCTCGCTTTTCTCTGCTATTTCTACGGCTCGTTCGTGCAATCACAAAAAAAAATGGAATTACATGCAAATAATAGGATGATTAATCATTGGCAATCGCTTGATAAGACATATAGAAGAGATACTGGAGTTCCGCAATGTTGCGTTTTTCGATCAATTTTTCATTAAAAAATATTGAAGTAAAAAGGATATAAAAATTACTAGAGATGCGTTAAACGGACAATGCACAATTGGTCGTAATTCAAATTAATAAAATTATAATATTATATATTTGTATGCAGCACCAAACCAAATCTCCGTTGCTCATAAAAACGTCAATAAGATCTAAGCTTCCGTGGTCGTAACAAGCGATTGCGAAATTTCACGGGGTCTCAAATGAATCACACATTACACAACTGTCCTTTTATTTAATAACGAAAGATGAGAGTTACGGATCAATTAACACACGTACTAATATATTAATGATACGATATCTAGTTGTAGAAGGTGTTAATAACGAATTAAATTCTACATGAATTTTGGTTTCGATCGTCATGTACATGCACAAGACCGTACAGACCATGTGGCAACAGGAATGTCGAATGTAAGTGGAAGAATCTCTGACGACTATAAACGTCCGCATAAGTATTCCTCAAAATGAGTTTCTCTGAGTCGTGATCATCACTGAGACATCACACTCGATATTCCGATACGATCGGCGGATTCGTGATGCCAGGGTAAGTAATAGCGCAAAGCGTTAAGGCGTCGGTCTATATATATACATATATGTATATATATGTATACTGTATGTACACGGACACACACAAACGCACGCGTACACAGAATGTCCCGGCGAAGGCGCGTTCTAGTGACAATTTTTTTGTATTCTTCGAGAAAGTCGAGATCAATTTTTCCTCAGCGAAAAATTCTTTTTTTTTATTCAAACTTTTATATATTTCAAGCAAGTTTCGTGGAAAAATAATAAGAAGAAAATTTCTTACCAAATAAGATGTGAATTGTACATAAAATTGATAAAAGGATATATTTGTATACCGAGCTTTTACGAATAATTTTGTATCGAGAAGAAAAATGTTTTATTTTAAAATATTTTATTTTTAATATAATAGTGTAAAGCAATCTATATATTTTTTAGTAGAAATACTTTGCAATAATATCTTTCAGTTTCGTGTAAAATTAGTTTTATATAACTGCCTCGCAAAAAATGGGGAACATTGTTCAGACGTTCAAAATTGAGGAATTTTTAAACTACTGAAACTCGGCGAAAAATAATCGCAGACATAAAATTGAAAAAGCATTTTAAAACTGGAAGTTTGTATTTTCACGTCTGAACGTCTCGACGCGGCGAACATCTCGAATAAAAGCATATTATTAATAACATTTAAAAAATATATATATATAAAATGTCATATGTACAAATATAAGACATTTATTTAGACAATTTTGCAGGTATAAGATATTTATTCGTTCAACTTCAAATTATAAAATGACGTTTTCCGTTCTAAAACAATGCAAAAACCAAAAAATAATAAATTTTTTGCGGAGGAAAAATCGGCAGCAGATTACTCAAAGATAAAATTGTCGCTACTCGCGCGCTGCTCTTATTCTAGACACCCTGTTTACTCGCGCGATATGATCGTGATGGCATAACTAAGGGGGCGCGTACCCCTCATCCTCAATATCGCACTGCAGCCCGATCCACATAACCCCGGCGTGGCCGATACCCCGCGGACCGAATTTCTTCGGATAGCAAGCTGTTAAGCAGACAAGCGCATCATATATAGTGAAAATGTAGAAGCCGAGGCGGGATTTCTTTTTCTCGCGTGCTTCCCGTCTCAGTCCCGAAAACCCACCCATTGGCATAGCAGTCGCTCTGCAGGGCGCCGCCACCCTGGCCGTAGCCATAACCCTTCGGTCCGAACCTCTTTCCGTAGCATACTGCAGACAATATCGATTAAAGATTTCACGTCGCCTAACGTTCTCTCGTGATGATGCTCTGCGACGAAGACATAATCGTACAGGTACGCTCATATGATTTCAGTATGTTTCAAATTTTTTCTACATTGTATAATTTTGTTTTATCTAATATTAAATACAAGATTTTGAAAAACTTTAATCACAGTTTGAATAAGATTCTAATTATGCAATAATTATAAAATATATTAGAATTTTCTAACGCTTTCAGATAATATTTTTTTAGGATAATTATATGTTAATATAAAAATATTTCTTTCAATTTTTTCATTTTTTTTACATATAAAAGCTTAACCAGTTTTTTCAGATAGAAACTACTGAAATAAAATTAATTTTTAAGGAAACTAATCTTCTAAAAATATTTTAGTTATAATCAATATTTTTTTAATTGCAATTTTATTAAGAAAATGCATTATGTAACATCTGTGAAATTTATTTATTTTAGAAATATCAGCAAATTTATTAAATTTTAACATAGCATTGCATATCTTGTACGTTATATCTTCGTGCGCACGATGGTACCGTGTCCTCACCTTTGCAATAGATGTCCTTATCAGGACCTTCACAGCAGTTGACGGAATCTAATCTTTTGGAGCAGTTGGCACACTTAAAGCATTCCCTGTGCCATTGCTACACGAAACACAAAGGGTAGGTTAGTCACTGAAAGTTCCAGGGAGAGGTAAAAAAACGTTACCGCATAATATTGGTTGTTCATTTACACAATCCTTCAGGAGTGCAGACATTAAAAACTCCTTAAAGTCCGCCAAGATCTATTCCAGACAGCGGCTTGTGCAGATATGTATACACAGATATATAGCAGTGTATACATATACATAGAATGTATTTATGTAAATCTTTATTAGCGTTTGAAATTAGAATTAGACTTATTAAAAAAAGTGTTCTATTGTTTCTTCAGGAAAAGCAGATAAAGTAAAGATTTTTCCATAATCTTATAAACAAAAGGTACCTCTTGACATATTAGCATAATTAATAATGAATTTAAATATTTTAGAATCACCGCAAAGTGTTAATTTTTATAATATTATAAATATATATTTCTATTATAAATTTTAAAATATTGTAAAGTTGAAAAACTTCTCTTTTTTTTATCACTTTCTTAAGACTTTTTTTAACAGATAGTTACGCGCTTAGATAATAAACGAGTGAGAAAAGAGGTGACGAAGTAATCGACGACCCTCTGCGACACTTCGCAGCCCTTGTTTTCGGGGGGCTGTTTCCTGGCGGCGAGGGGAGAGTTTCACAAACTGGTTTTAGTGGGCGACAACAATAAGAACGAACGAATTGAATCGGAAACGAATTGAGATCAACAGATAGATACGTTCTAGAGATCATGATCGTTCAACATATCAGAGCACAGAGTTTGTCAGTACGGATATCTGTGCAGCAAATCGAAAAAGAGTCAAAGAGTGGCAAGACCATAAAGAGGTGGGAGGGTAGTAGATTCTTTAAATTATAAAAATACCTCGACAGTATATCTCGCGGTCGGGACCATCGCAATGAAGCGTCGAATCCAGACTCCGGTGACACATTTTGCATTTGAAGCACTGTTTATGGTAAGCCTAATCACAAGAACGAGAATTGACCAAACGGCGATCTACTAGTCGGACGAGTCGCTTATCGATATCGTCGACGCAGTTCTTGGTGCCACGACGAATCGCCGGGTAGCCTATTTTAATTCTCGGAATGCTCTTAAGGGAAGCTTAGCGTTTCTTATTCTCGATATTTCAGCGGTGGGGTAAATTGAAGACTTCGAACTTAGAGGATGCATCCGCGTCGATGCAACGCTGAACGCAATCTTACGTCGAGAAACATGTCATAATATGTCCGTGCATAAATGATCGAAACACACAATACTGAATCATTATTAGTAATATTATTATTAACTGAATTATATCATTATTTTGCTATCTAAAAAAGAGATAATATCATATTGCTATATAGAAAATAATCATGTGCATGTCTATTTTAATAATAATTATACTTGCAAGAAGATACTTTTCGTATATCTTTCGATATTATTAAACCACATATATTTTCTAATAAATTAATGTCAATTTAAATGTTTTTTGCAAAAAATCAACATTTACATCTCTTATCATATAACACATTCTAATATAACTTTATGCAATTCCTTCTTTTCAACCGCTTCAATATTTGAGATCTTATCGAGAAGAAATTTGCTTGATCATCTTTCGAAAGCAATTTGCTATAGTATTTAACTCTCGGAAAGACTTCTCGTTCCAAATTTTTACAGAGGAACGACACGCTTCTTCGTTCAAGAAGATGCGAGGGAGAATAGCGTAATCGAAGTTCTCGTGCGATCAAAGTAGCGATCTTAACGATACGCCGATGAGTCACGAACGACGAGGAAGATGGATTGTCGCCGGTATTTTCGCGTGCGAATTATACCAGATTGTCGGCCGGCAATTAGCCTCCATTTCTCTGGTTCTGAGCGGCGCTCCTTCTGGTAGCGAGCCATTTTATCGCCGGGTATCGGGCCGACTAAGATTGGCCGGCCAGTTGGTGCGTCGCCAAAGTTATCCTCTGACGAAACCACCGAGAAAGTTTCCGAGCTAGCACCAAGCGAGTTCTCCTCCCCCTCCTCCTCCCCTTCCTCCTCCTCCTCCTCCTCTCTCTCCACCCCCGCTCTTCTCTCTTGCCGCTATTTTTTTCCTCACATTGTTATGAAATGGAGATTGGATAAGATTACGAAGACGCGCGCGACGCGACCCATCACTGCGCGCTGCATGCCGAATTTAGACGGGCGGCAAAAGCTTCGCGGCACGTGACCGCGCCGCTATGCCGCGGGGTATTTTGTAACCCGCGGCGCATTTTTGCCGCGGCGCGGTTTCCATCCAGATTTTCCGAAATACGCGTGAGTAAGCGCAGCGGAGAGGACGCCGATTGCGTCAATCTGTCTGTCGCCGCGTCAGCGGTCGATTTTATTGCTCGGCGTGCTAAATCGCGCTGCACCCCCGCGTGCCGCCTTCATACGTCGAAATATCCGCGATCCATATTCGAAGCCGGCCCACTCGCAGATACTATATCGCACACCTAGAATATAAGGTCGCGACTCGTGGAGTATTCATTAGAGAGCTATTTTTGACTCTTATTTTTTTGCTCGTACATAATAGATCAATTAAAGATTAATTTGTTAATTTCAATCAGTTAAAGCTTCAGTATAAGAATTTAAAAATCAAACTCCCACAGTTGTTTTCGTGTTAAAAATTATTTTAAAATGTGAGAATTATATAAATAATTTTTTCAGTTGCAAGTCTTGTTAGATCTGGAATATTTGCAGTCTATAAAATCAATCCTCGTCAATCTATTTCCATAGATAATAGTATCTATATATCGAATCAAAAGTTAACAGAAGAATTAGGTAAATTTATAACTGACTGAAATAGAGCGACTCTCCTTCATTCCCTAAATGCGAACGATCGGTCGAAGCACCAAGGTGAGAGATTTATCGTTGTACGCTTAACGCTAAATGCAGCCGTATCGTCTCATCGCATCACTGAACATTCAAATAATAAAATAATGTTTAATATTGAAGGAGTGAATATGCGATGGCAAATCTCACCAAAAAAAGTTACGCTACTTCGATAATTTTTAACTGATTATTCACGTTGTATCTCTGCCGCATTTAGTGTTAAATACACACGTCGTAAGGCCGATTGCTAAATAAACTCACCCTTCCTCGGGCCAACATCTGCTCGGCGGCATAAACGTACCCTCCGCAGCGAGGACATCCCTCTCCCTCGGGTGCCTTAGCGATGGCCCGCGGTTCGAGGATGGCGTTCGAACCCCGCGAAAGTTCGCCCCTAAAAATCCATGTGTATTAAAATCCATAAATCAACGAAGTTTATGTATATTATAATCAGATTTAAGCATCGGAAGCTCTCAAATACACCAACACACAGGAAACAGTCATCGAGAAGTGAAATTGAAGGTACACATAATATTAATAATTATAATGTCAAAATACATGATCGGAATTTAACTCGAACAATTTAAATAGAATCTTCGAAATCATTTTTGGAAGCTTGTTTAAAGGAGCGTTGCAGAGACGTGTATGTGCAATCTGAGGGAGAAAATTAGGGAGAAAATAGAAACTGAAGTAAATTGAAGCTATATACGGGAGAAGTTTAAAATATTCATAAACAAGTGCGGAGAGGTGCTATTTAAGCAAGAATAATTATCACACATTCTTAATTACCAGACCAATTTCCATATCAAAGTTTATATCCCGCTAATTGTCAGCAAATTATTTTGCAGAGAACTATAAAAAAACAAGTGTGCAATTTGAGGGAAATAATTAAGATACATACGACGATCCGTCAATTTCACATCTGAACATTACTCTCTAATCTACAGAGACAAACAACACTGCCAAACTTGGAAAACATCGCACTCCGACGTACAGAATCAGGAAACGATCGGGCACGTTGTGCAAGAAGGAATCAGGACCAAAAAGTCGATAAATTATTTTAAAAGGGTGCGCAAAAATTGTTAACATCATGTTACAAATAATAGGAGAGGTGAACTACATGGAAATATTCATAATATTAATGTGGAAAGATGCTTACTTTTATTACTTAATAATTAATGCTCGTCAAATTTATTTGCTTGACCAATCTTTCAGAAGCAACAATTTTCAATGTAATCCAATGTATCAATATAGTACGAATATATTGATCTCAAGCTCATCTAAAAATCTTCCACACTCCAAATTAAGCTCCGAAAAAATTCTTATGCGAAGTTAAAATCTTTGTTCCAACTTTCTTCAATTCCTTCTTGCGAGATGTTCGTCTTTCATTTAAAATAACGAAAAAAAAAAAAAACATTTTCGTCGGACGTGTGATAGTGTCGGCAAATAACATAAACATAAGTACATCCAATATCGCGGGTTAGCTTGTTAGGCGTGTGTTAGTCAATGTGTTAGTGTAAATTTTCCCCTTTGCAACCACGGCACGTGGCTTCCGCCGAGCCCCGAGAGAGGAGAGCCGAGAAGCAAATCGCACGTAATACGGTATAATCGAAACATGTACAAAAAAAGAGATAAAGAGAAACAGAGAAAGTGAGAGAGAGAGAGAGAGAGAGAGAGATATATAACTAGAGAGAGAAAGAGAGTGGAGAGGGAAAAATACAGAAGTGCCACCGTGTCGGGTACAGCACGGGAGAATCTGCGCGTTTGCACGCACACATCCGTACCGTGAGGTGAAATATCATCGACATAGTGAGGTGACATGATCATGCTGTCCTCCTTGTAACACGACAATTGCGCCGCTGAGATAGGTTTTATATTACGGTAAAGTGGCGTGTGCGCAGAGTGGAGGAGGGAGAACACGTAAACGATGCAGGTGCACATGCACTTATCACGATTGGTTGCTGGGGTTACACGAACGGTCCAAAAGCGAAGTGTGCTTGATTGCTGTGTCTCAAGTTTAATAAAAAAAAAAAAAGACAAAAATACATGGAAAGACATAAAGAACGTAACGAGTGTCACATAGATTTCCGGCCGAACTCTCTTTTATCTACGGATTCTTCGATCGATTTTTAGGTCGGTTTGCAATTCGGGGAGTTCAATGTCTTTCCGGCTGTTCAAAATTTCGAAGTTAAGCGCACAAGAATCTGAAATTTTTAACAAATTTGTAGCTCTAGCTATGAATTAAAGCTACATTATCTAGTTATGTATGCTATAATCATCACATATCTTACAAACACTTTTTCTCACACAGAAATAAACAACATTATGAAAAACCGTACATAAAAGACAGCCTAAGGAAATCTGAAGCATCTACGAATCTCTACGTAGGACGTGTAGAAAGACAGAATATAAGAAACAAAGTATATAATACATATGCACCAGACTGTGGACACGCTTCGCCCTACGAAACCAAGAACGTCGCCAACAAGTGTCAAAGCTCCTCTCAACGACGCACAGTCATTGCATCGTAATATTGTCTCGCTAACAAGAGCACGGTGTTGATCGCCGTTACCTCATTGTGTCGACGCAGTACGCGAATACATTAACACGCACGCGGGCACGCACGCACGCGCCAGCACCCACGCAATAGTTAAGGTGTTAGCGAGATTACAGGATTAGAGGTGGTGCGAGAGAGGCCATGCAGGAGAGCTACGTGTGTATGTAAAAGCTACAAAAAAGAAAAAGAAGCTGCTTCGTCACGCGGCGAAAGAGAAAAAAAAGAGGGAGATATAGCGAGAGAGAAAGAGACAGCGAGATAGAGAGAGAGAGACAGAGGCGCAATTTGACTCGATGCTCACCATTCTTGTACTCGGTATTTTCTCTTTATCACGCAGCTCGTACTATGTGATAAAGTGACAACGGTATATCATTCAATGGTTGCCTCCGGTTGGCTCGTGCTCGGCGGGGCTGGCGGGAGCGGGGTGTGTCGTGTGTTTCTTTTCTCTTATTTTTCAATTTTCCGTTACTTTCATTTTTATCATTTCTTTCTTTAACTTTCAGCTTTGCTCCCTTTCTTGGCGAAAAGAGCCTGAAGAGAGGGCACGAGAAGCCGAGCGGATTTTCGTACGCAAAGGCTCGACGTCGTAGACAAAAGTGGTAATGTGTGGTGGTAAATGCACGCTTCAACAGTGCACACTCTACTTTGGTGGATTCACAGAAGTAGAGTCGCGCAGTCGTTTCAGTTTCAGTCAAAGTTACAGTCACCATAGTTGACAAACGGCATCAATCTCGATAATTTCGGGGGGCAACGCGCGGAAAAAGAAATTATTCAAAACAAATTAAGCGCTCAGAGTTCGACGCGTCGAATTTATTCCGGCTTTGACGCCTGCATTTAATTTACACCGGCGATACACCGTAACTTTGATTGAGGCCAGCTCCGCGACTCCACTTCGCGCCTCTCAAAGAGACATTCGTTATGCACGTCATTTGCACAATTGATCTATTTACACACTGAAAGGTAAGAGGGAGACGTGTGTTATTCGTTAATGAAAGACACCGCTTGGTTGTTTTGTTTTCAGTTTTATCTTTCCCTTTTTTCCATTTTTAATGGCATTTATTACAGATGGTACAAATGATCCTACAAACTAGCGTATATATTCGCATAGAAGAAGAAGAAACACAGAAGAAACAAGGAAAAAAAAGAAAAAAAAAAAGGACAATTTGATCGATCGAGCGCGACGACGCCGGTCGGCCGCGCCGAATTAGGAAAAACGGATTCGGCGAGAGGAGAGGGATTGGTCTAATTCGGACATCATTCACATGACGATGATGCGAGGGAAAGGCGGGGACAAGTGAGAACGGGTTTCTCGAAGAGGACGGAGAAACGAGATGACATGCTCGCCTACGCTACTGCGATGACGGATTTCAAAAGGTGAAAACAGAATTTAGTCCTGGAGGACCGTCTAGATGCAACTATCGGGACACAAAGGACCGTCTAGATCTAACATCACGAGAGGCAAAAGTAAAACACCAGGATCGAAACGAGAACTTTCTCTTCGTCAAGCTTCGAGAATTCAGAAGAGAAGAACGGGAGCGCGTGGGAAAAAACGCGGGTTTCACTGTGTCAAACACGTGTACGCAGACGCATGCTCTCCGGCTTCCTGGTGGAATTCGCGCGGCCTTCTTCCGAGCTGGACGCGATCGACCAAAAGGAGAATCATGCTGACGACGGTTGATCGGTCGGCGGTTTTTCAGTTTCGCGCATATGACAGAGAACGTGGAAGAGAAGTGAGGGAAACGGGAGATACTTCCGTTGTGTGGATTCCGCGTTGGGGCAATGCTACTTGGGAACGAAAGGAGGGGGGGATGTCGGGGATGTCGTTGTTGCGCGACGGCAGGTGCACTCACTCGCTCTTCGCTTGAAGATGCTCGCCTTGATCCATGGACAGGCAGCCAGCTCCGCCGCCGAAGCCGTAGCCCTTAGGGCCGAACTTGCGGGCGTGGCAGACTTTGCAGAACAGCTCGCCCTCGTGCTCGGAGCAGTTTGTCGAGTCGAGCAGTTTGCTGCAAAGACCTGCAACACACGGTCGTCGCACGTTCGTTCGAGATTACGGTGCTTCCTGCTGGATGTGCGCGCGCGAGAATCGATGCGCGATTCTTCAGGCACGATTGGGGTACGAATGTTGTCCCAATACATCTGATAAAATCGCTAACCGCTTTATCGACGAATGCAGAGGAATTGCTTGTTGAAAATATTTGTAAGAGTATTGCGTATATTTTTTATAGGAAAATAAATGATTTTTTGTTAATATGCAATTCAATATTCAAAGATATACACTGACGATCGCAAAATAACGTCAATTCCCTTACTCTTTGAAATATATTTCACAATTTTTATTCTAGAAATAGATTTTATGCATGTCTTGAGTCTTTTCAAGACGCAATGCTTAACACTGAAATTACTCTTGCACGTGAATTATTCACTTCGGTCATTGCTCCCGGAAACATTTCCGGACAGGCATCAATTGATTTTTGGCCAACACGCGGGCCCGGTTACAGTCGCGACAGACTATGTGAGCATGAAATTTATTTTAGATCAGACTAAGAATAGAAGACTCGATAATGCCTTCCGTAATGGAAATATTCAGTCACGTTCTTACAGAATACAATTTTCAGACAAGCCTTAAATTTACCAGATTTTAAGTAATTTGTAGTAGTTGTGTTTTCGCGCGCGCGTGTGTGTGTGTGTGTGTGTGTGTGTATGTGTACATAAAAGCTGCAGGTTTTAAAACTTATATTAATCTTATTTTTGATTGCAAATCGAATTTGAAGATCTCAAAAAATCAATTTTGCTGAACTGTTTAGTTAAAAAAAAAGATTGTCATAAAGGCTTATTTAATTCATTTAGCTTTTATTATAACTTTTAGAAATATTTCTGCTAGATTTATTTATTGTATTTTAATAAGAAAACACTTGTTTATATTCTGTTATTGTCTGTTTGTTCCCATATTATGAAATTATTTACTCACCGCACTTGAAGCACATTTTGTGCCATTTCAGTCCACCGGCAACTCGCTCTTCCGCAGCATAGACGGACTTGCCGCATTTAGGGCATTTTGGATGTTCCACGGGCTTGAAAGGCATTTTTATACTGCAACAAAAAAGAGCTTGGTTATTGCGTGTACCATGTTGCACTTATACTAATTATGTCTCGCAAAATTATTCATTTTTACGTCACTTGATAGTTTTAAGAAATTATTTTGTGGAAATTATTATTGTTTTGCGTAGGTAGGTTATGGCAAAAAACAGTTTAACAAGAAAAATTAATAATTAAAAAAATAATAAAAAAACCATTATTTTATTTTGTAGGAAGGATCTCGTTGGAATCAAAATAAAAGCATTATCATACATTTGCAAAGACACGTTGTCCAAATAGAAACACGTAATTTTCGAATCTAAAATTTACGAGAGCAAAATCGAATCAAACGTCTTTATTAATAACGAGAGGAATCATCGGTACGGTAACCCATCTCAGTTACCTAACAGCCGCTTACGAGGACGTAAACAATCCAAGTTTCCGTCTGACTCGTCGGCAACCAATTCTATTTCTGTGGCAAATGTAAGACGTGCACCCAATTGAGTAAGTGGAAGGATGGAGGTGTGGAAAGGAGGAAGAGAAAAGTATATCGTGCACAGCATCAGGGCATCGAACAGATTTACGACGGCTATTATGTGAATAGGAATAGCTATCTTTCGGCTTTGTATCAAAATATTTCAATAGTAGCGTCGTATATATAATATTGCAAATTTTTTTAAAGCCAAAATTTTGCGGTTGTTTAAATCTCTGATTTTGTGAGTTACAAAAGTTAAAAAAGAGTTTCGATGAAATAAGATAATGCAAAAAATACATAAATTATAAGATTTTATCTTGTAATACATGTTACTTTTAAATAGATATATCGTCATTTTTTTATAACTAATAATATAATAATACAAATTTAAAAAATCGTATTCTGAAATCATAGCTTTTTGAATTATGAAAACGCGATGTTCCATATCTTGATTCAGAATCATGTTTTCCTAATTTTTTAATACATATAAGTAATAGAATTAATTTCACCATATTAATGATATAAAATAAAATGTCAGTGATATATCTTTTTAAGATTTATCTAGAAAAAAATATAAAAAGATTTATTTCTACGTATCCAAGCTTTGAAAGAAAATATCATAATTTAAAACATTAGATATTTATCGATAAGTATTTATTATTTGATTAATTATTAATAGCTTTAATCGCCGATAAATATGACGGAACAAATCTCTGATTAATTAAAATACATAGATGTTTACGGCCGACATTATTGCTACGGAAAATGCGGAAACAAATAACGAATGATTGAAACGCATGCTGCAACGAGATGGTAATGATATCTGGCATGAATATTAAGTGGGTGGGCGTAGTAGCGTTTGGCAGCGCTGATAGTTAATTGTATATTTGTAACAACAATATTTTGCACAGTAGCAGCAGTAGTAGTAAGTAGAATTATAGGCGACAATGTAGTAGATAATAAAATGCTTGGCAATGGAGATATGCGGATGTGATGCATTGCCTTAACACAACAATAATATGCCGTGGAAGCGATAAATATAAAAAGATAATAAAAATTAATGCTCGGCAATAAAGAAAGAAAATCGCGTCTTTCAGGTGTCTTTAAGATTTGCGTGTCGTCCGGGTATCCTAGCTGTTACTGTCGGAGATCAATCTGTTAAAAATATCTGAATGCTTTGCTCGTCCTTTTGTAAAAATTGATTTCAACTTGTATCGAGTATGCACCCCGTCGCGGCACAATTAGCGCTTTTACGGCTGTACAAATACGTTCCGTTACTACTGACAGCGGTGGCACGCTAGTAGTAGTAGCAGCGGTAATAGCGGCAGAAACAGTGGTAACAGACAGTACGCGCGAATCGGCAGGAGAAAGAGAGAGAGCAGGTCAGGCTATATCCGTGCAGACGCGCGTGCAGGCGAGTCTGCGAAACCGTATTAGGGAAGGTGCTAGGTTCTCCACGGTGGCGGTCTCTCTCTCTCTCTCTCTGTCTCTCTTCTCGTTACCCCTACCATTTAATCGCACGCATATTCGTGGACGTATGGAATGCGTGGTAACTTAACTCGCGAGTCCTGCCACGCAATGGAATCGCAAAGCGCCCCTACATGTCGAATTGTTATTACGTCACACGCGAGAATTATGAAAATCAAGATCTACATTAATTAAAAATTTATAACACTAGTTTCATATATTTTCTATCTTCGATTCGATATCATACACCTCACAAATATGAAAACTTTATGTTGCAGAATTACACTAAATGCAATTTTAGATATATGTTATTGCCGCCGAAATGTTAAAGCGCTAAACTTGAATTTTATAGCTTATATGTACGTTATTGTTGTTAAAAGCGACGTGTATTGATCAATAAATTGCAATTTTCAGTTTTCAGATACTGGTATTAAATTGTTGAAAATAAATAATGATTTAAGAACATTGCGCAATATATTGACAAGAACTATAATTAACATGGAAGTACAATAATGAAATGAAACGGCCAAGGATGCATAATTGTAGCATGCGATGTGGTAAATGTTGGCACTAATAAACGTGTGAATCACCGATCTGGCAATTATCAGAAACATTAATTTTGCAAAACACTTGAATTTCCTATTCGCGACAAAGAAGGTAATTTACCAAGTAAAAGTATAGTTATCGCAAAATATGCACGAATCTTTTAGCTTACACGATTTCCAAAGAATTTTGCGAAAGATTGCGCCATGTATTTATTTGATATATTTTCATCAATATTTTTGCAAAATACACAAGAGATGGTATATAAATGTTTTATGCTTGATGTACATTGATTATATGTTTAAAGTTTAACTATTTAAATTATTTATCAATTATTTAAAAAAATTTTTATTTGGCTAGAACGTTGCATATGCAATTAGTTATTTTATTTATTAAATATAATTATTATTTTGCATTTTATAATAATTTATTAACGATTACTACTATCGATCAATCATTTTTAAAAGAGGTGGCGATTTTAGTATGATTTGTCGCAATCAAGACAAATAATTCTTCGCGATAAATGGTGGTTTAATGTTTTCGCGGAAATCTGGAAATACGATCGCGGCATCGTATTTCGTTGCCTCATAAATTACATCTGGATAGTATAAGCAAGCACGAACCACGGATAAAACCAGAATCCTAAAATTAGGTCATCCCGTAAAGAAATCCTGACACTCGCCTAATGATTCGCACGGTTTATAATTATGTCGTCGGATATAATGAAACGTATGTAATATGATATTCTATCTGAAACACGGCCTGGATAGAAGAATCAAAACATGTGTCATCGTAATGAGAATTCATTTCTCTAAATCTGCATTCACACATTTCAGATTTTAATCTATTAGATAATATTTAAATTATTCATGAAAATTGAAGAAATTAAATTTCTTTTTCTTATTCTTACGAGATTAATGACATATTCTTAAATATCGCGAACTCTAATCGCATTTACCGTATAATTATTTAAGTAACAGTCTTTTAATGCATTTACTCGGAAATCCACACGTTCTAATCTAGATTCGCGTGCAATTATTCAACTATCAGCTTACAAATAATGTTATAGTAATTTTACGAAATAAGCATCAAGATTATTCAATTAATTATGTTCTCTTAACATAATAATGATATTTCCTTCAATTTATTTGATAACATAATTTGATTGGTGCCGTCACTCGACGCGAGACTGAGTTTCGGTAACTAATAATAGTGAGGAAAAGACGTGCGTATTTTTAAAATTAACGAGGCTGGTAACTCAGATATGCGTGATAATAATAACTTTTCTGACAGTAAGACACTTGATTTTATTTTGTGTGAAATTTTATCGTACATTATTAAATATTGCAAACATATTATTTATAATCTATCCAACAAGTTCAACGTTTGAATGCAAAATAATGCAAATAAATTTAATTGGAATCTGAAATTTATTTATTATAAAATAATATTTATTTATTTATTATAAAATAAAATTTATTTATTATAAAATGATATTTCATGTGCTAACTTTATAGCAAAATTTAACGTTTTTGTATATTCTTATTTTTCTGTTCTTTTCGATATTCAATACTCGATAACCAGACGGTTCGTCTAATAAATTTTATTAATATTTCGAACTGCTAATTATAATATAATGTAGAATCTATGTTCAGCGATTACGACTCTATTTTAATATCTTCATACGAGATTAGATCTTAAAGACATTAGATTTTCCATCATCTGTATCCATCCTAGACAGCACAGACATCTTTTACCCTGTCCATCTATATGGCGTCAATTAATATTTAACTCTGTTAGCTAAATCTTCCTCTTTTACCTACGTTATTAAATAAGACTACAAGATGTTTTATTTTAAATTTGAAATTGGCTTATCTTTCAAATTCTTCAATGTATAAAATCGTAGCAAAATCTTTATCAGCAAGACTTGATTTATTAAAAAATCAAAAATTTTTTTATACAATTATTCTTTTCTCTTAGGTTAGGTTCCAAAACGTCCTTTTCGAGGAAAATTTTACTCGAAATATATAGTACACATAACGTATGCTATATTATATCGACTAAAATTTTCCTCGGAGAGGACATTTTGGAACCTAACGACGTAACGTTAACAAGTAGAAAAATGCGCGAATTTGGTACAAAACACCTTGTATAATGTAAACATAGTACCGGTTTGCTAATTAGTTGCTAATTAATTCAGACTGTCCAATAAGATATCAATTTGGTCGGAGGAGACCAGCATTCTACTTAGCAACGAAACTAAATTGGCATAGTGCCAACAATTAATAATAATTCTGTACAGACCAATCACAAACTCTGTTGTAAGAACCGATACAAGTTTTATGAACTACATAAGTTGACAAATTTCAATTCTGATAATTCAAATACTTTTAAGAGGCTGTTACTTGATTGCGAATTAGAAATTTCGCAGGTTATCAGCAAATGAAATTCACCCAAGCAGCACATGCGTTCAAGGATCTTAATGTACATCTCTCACGAGCACCATGCGAGTTTCAGTATTTCACGGGAAGAAAAGCCACGAGGAAAACAGACAAATCACGGGGCTGAGATAAATCACGCTCGCAATTCTACGTGCACTTCGTCGAGCAGTACAAGTGACGATGTTTGTGTATCGTCGTCGGTATCGTCGGCGTTCGGCATCGATCGATGCCGGTTAAAAAGTATCGTCATCGGTGGCATTAAGTGTCTGAGAGTAGCAGTGATAGTACGTATATATTCGCGACACACTTATTATCTGAATACTCACCACTAATCGATCGTAGTCGCGCGAGAAAAAAAGAGAAAGACGGAGAGATGGAGAGATGGAGTGAGAGAGAGAGAGAGAGAGGAAAATTCGAGTAAGTGGATTACAAAACACCGAACACTCTACACCGCACTAATACTGGATTCGAATGACTGTGCTCGCGTCGGGAACGTCCTAGTCATAGCTCCCTAGGCTTTGCACACGGCACGTGTGCATCGGGAACGTCAGTACTGTTGACGACGACGACGCTGCACCGGTGGCGGCGACGAGCAACAGTGGACGTCGAAGGGCGGTAAGCAATCTTCAAAGTAAGATTTCGCAGTATCAAAGTAAGATTTAGGTCTTTAAGCTACGGAATGTGTTCATCGTTTGTGTGAGACTTGTCTTCACGCTTCAAAGTCTCTTTGCCTAGAAGAGTGATTTTTGATAATACAGTGCTTTGATCCATTTCACTCTCGACTTTTGTCTGTCAAGTTTCGACGGCTATTTACCGTTTATGAATCTACAAGTCTTTATCTTTTTTTTCCAATTTCTAAGAAAATAAATTTTTATAATCTCTTATTTTTTAATGTCGCTTGATTTTTTCCGACCGCTTTCGTCAGCTGTTATTTTATTATGTCTTTTTGATTGCTGTTTAATGAAATTGTTTATTCAGACTTATAAATTTTTCAACTATTATATCTTTTATCTTAACATTCGTATTACGTATTTTTTCAGATAAACTAAAGCAATTTAACTTTTGCTTCGTGTAGGCTTATTTTTTTTTATAGAAAAGTCTTCGAATACTCTTATAAATGAAATATTATTTGTACACTTTCTTCTCTTAGTTATTTCATCTTATTTTATTTTTATAATTTTCTCTACGATACTTTATTTTTTTGCAAATGTAAAATTGAAATTAAATAATATTATTCCTACTCAAACAAAAATTCATCGTTTATTTGAACTACTATCTCTATATTTTTTTATGAAATCTACAATTTTTAAAAATAGTTACAAAGAGAAAGAAGAGGAGGGAGAGAAAGAGAAAACTTGGTAAAACATAAGTGTAAGACAGAGAACGTAAACAAATAAATTTCGGAAAGTAAATATATATCAAAACTTCAAAGTACCAGCGTCGTTATAAAGGAAAAATGTATACGTTACATGTGTATTCAGAGACTCAGGATATTTATTCATATACATATCTTTGGTTCATGGTATGACAATGGTTGCATAAACTGTAAAATTGATGCAAAGATCTATATATTATATCTCGATAGCTTGCATATTACTGAACTCTCGACATACTGAACATGATCTGTCTACCAAAAGAAACAACAGAAGTGCCTCGCAGTCTAGCGGGTGACATATATGCTGCAGATTAGTGTTACCTTATATTCGTCCGCGGTAATAATAAAAGTGTGAATCATTGCTGAGATTATCACTCTTATTTAAATAGGATCGACACGATAAAAGTAATTTAATCAAAGATTTCTGTAGCACGTAGATCAATCAGCAATTGCTATATTGATTCTAAACTACAAATTTGTACCAAAAAAATCGAAATTTTTTAGTTTAAGTATTAAGTACTTCTCGAAATTTAACATATATAAAAATAAACATTGTTTATTTTAATTAAATAACGAAAAATAAAATAAAATCTTGGAATCTAAAATTTTTAACGAGAAATTTTTGTCCCATGTATGTTATATCTGTAGTCTATAAAAAATTACAGACGTATCATATTTAAAATAGAATGTCATATATATTTGTGGGTTGGGGAAGTGATGACTACATAAAGGTACACGTTCGACCCACTTTAAAACATGTAAGTCTCCGCTAGTCTCATGACGGAAAGTTCCGTCTCCTCCCCGAAAAGAATTACGATCGTGGAAAGTAAAAATACATCGAAGACATGGACATGAAGAATTCCGCGAGGTGCCCGCAGTAATGAAACATAGCAAAAATATGCGAGGCGATCGTTTGAACGTCTCCCACGCGCTCGATTTTTTCTACAAGTATTCCAGACTTTATAAATACAGGTTTTGCGAGTATTAATAATGACGATTGAATCTCACGAAATATCTGGTGATGAGCGATCATCATTGCTGTCGCAAAACTTTAGAGCTTGTTTCCCTAGCAAAAAGACTATAAAAAATAAACAGTATATTTTATTTAAAGTACACTAATAATTCTTAACAGCAATATAATTCATTGTCAAAAATGATCAAAATATAACAATTACTAGCAAATGCGAATTAAACCTCTTCATATTTTTATTACAACTATCGAAATGTGTTGACTGATAAAATTTCTATTTTACTTTATACTTATTTTTAAACTTAACACTGTATCTTATAATCGTATCTCCATTTTTCAAGCTTGCGATTCATTGTTTACGATTAAAGTGTTTTTAAATTCCTAAAAATTGTATGATACACGGTACGTACGTTTTTTTCATCATAAGTAATTCTTTCATAAAATACTCTTTTAATATAAATATCTAAATTCCTATATAAATCTAGAAGATGGATCGATATATTTAGCAATTTCAACAATCATTAAATTAGGAAAAGTGTCAAAGCGCGGGTATTTTTCGTAATCCATCATATTTGAGAAATTTCCAACCGGTCTGTACCGTTTCTCCGCTAGCGGCCTACTAACGGGTGTTTTCCGCGTGCCCGAGCACCCTCGTCTCGACCGCGGGATTCCTCGTTTTTGATGAGAACGGCGAGAGCGTGGGCGAGAGTAGTGGTGTGCGAGGGAGGATCGCACTCTCTCGCCTTTTCGTAACGAGGCACCGGTGGTGAGCACCGTGAGGAGCCGCGCGGCCACACACTCATCGTCTAATAATAATATCTTGCTCAAATTTCTATTTTTAGGGAGATGTACGTGTGCGCACACGTGCCTTTATGTAAAAGGCCCAAAGTATATGGTTACGCGCGCCTACGTGCGAGCCGCGCTTACGGTTATGAAGACAACGACGCCTCTGAATTATTATCGCACACACCGGCGGAATGTAATGTCCGTCGTGGATTTGATAATGCAATGGCGAGATGTAACAGAGCGGCTTCGCCGAGAATTCTCATTTCGCAGTGACATTATAATCTTCTGTAATAGTGAAGTAGTTATGTCAAATGTTTTATAGAACAATTTCACAGCATACGATAAGATAAATAAGCGTATTAAGTATTGATATAATAACTTTTCACGGCTATAACATGTTACATAGATCACACACATAATGCGCGATATCAAATATCTTTTCTCAACGTCGCTATTCTTGGCATCTATAAAATAGTGTAGAAATTGATAAAGTATATATAAAAAGAAAGATATAAAATTTACATTGTTCTATTCGACAACAAATTAAATCATTATGCATTCAATAAATATAACAGACGCACATTATTTGTGATAAATAATGCTGCTATACTTATATATTCATAATGTTACATGTTATTTACACACATAAATTATAGAGTTAAAACAGTGATATATGCATTCTTAAACAATATATGTATGCATGTGTCTCAAGTATTAAGGAGACGATTATTTAATAAAGATTTTGGAAAATAAATGTAGAGAGATACAAAATCAGTCTACATTATTATTTTATATGCACGCTATACATTATTTTATAGCACGCTTTTGGATCGTCGATTATGTAATCTCTTTTCGTATATGTAGGACGCATATTTATAAAATGTAACATATGCAAGCGCACGTTTTCTCCTTCTCATCATGAAGTGCATTAAACTATATTCTATATTCTAGCACGAATTTTTTACGTGTACAATTAATATTTTTTATCATTATACATATTGTATAAATTCTTTTTGATATATTACGCGCGTATAAAAGATTGTACGTGTTTGAAATATACATCCATTAAATTTTAATAGATCAACAGCCTCCATTTTCTAAAATTATAATTTAATTATTATCAAAATATTTACATTATAAATAAGAAAGCAATAAGAATTGCATGATCTTTTTTAAGGAATTTTGTCGCAGATTTAAATATAAAATTTCGACAGGCAAATTATGAATATTTAATGTTGTGTATAATTTGTGAAACTATATCTCGAAACTATTTTTGAGCGCAAGGGATTGAGTTTTAGATAATTTATTTTATATTATCAAAAAATTAAACTATTTTATATTATCAAAAAATTAAACTAAATTTATTTATTACATAATTTCTCTGCACAGATATAGCGTACATCCCTAGAAAATGCGACGAGTGCGATCTCGCGTTTTCCTCTTCTCTAGCGCTTCTGAAGCGTTACTTTAAACCGCTTCTGTTAACTCGAATTTACTTGCGTAGCAGGCGGTGGTCGTTATTCGCCAAGCTTGACAAGTTTACGCGCCGCGGACTATTTGCTCGCGAAAGTAAACTGCAGCGTGGTTGCTGCGAAGAGCGCGCGGACCTTCCGGCGCGATAGAGGCAGCGGCGGCAGCGGCTTCCGGTATTTTCAATCCGGCTCGCCGAATCCGGTAGTACGGCTCGCGGCCGCAAGCACAGCAAAATCCACTTCGGCTTTTTACATAAAAGCCGCGCGCGTTTATCGGTCTAAAAATAGAAATTTGAGCAAGATATTATTATTAGACGATGAGTGTTTTCGCGGTTCTCAATTCGGTCCATCCGTTTGTTACCGGAGAGTCAAGGGAAGGCCGCCCGTACTTCACGTTCCATCTATTCTTTTCTTTTAATCCATTAGCGCGTTAGGTCGTTTTTCTCACAGAAATATTCGCGCTTTTATTTATCGATTGCCTCCCTCTTTTATCTCGTTATATATTTCTTACAATTATTAGATAAACCACTTATCGATTCCAGATTTCTTTCACTATCAATTCATAATGTACAAGTACATTATTTTCACAACGAACTCTACATACGATTTATTTATGTAAACCATTATGCAAAAATGAATATTGCCCGTTTACTTTTAGCACGCGCTGATAAAAAATTATTTTCTATTTTAAATAAATAAATTATTGATATCTTTTTAATTACATTTTTTTATTTGAGTGTAAAGTACAGTAGAAGAATTTTTGAAGCTATGAAACAACATTTTATAAAAAATAAATTAACATTATTATTAAAAATTAAGAAAAGAAAACTGACAACAGTTTCAAATATTTACCATCAGTTATATTCCATATTTAATAAAATTTTTTTATCTAGAAATTTACGGTAACGTATTTCAACATACTCGATTTATTCCATTGTAGATTGATAGATTAAAGCATGGAATCACATTACCTGTCACTCGACGTGATTCTTTTTACTTATGTATTTGACGTTTTAATTTTATTTTTTTTATTTTTATATTTTAGGCACAGAGAAAATATATAATATATAATATAAATCAATTTAATCGGAAAGAAAATATTTCTTTGCATTAACGGTAGAATTATCATTTATGAATCGACTTATGATTCTAAATATGCGGAGAACACCTGGAGGCCGTTTTCAGCAATGACGAGTTCTATGTCTACAGCGTGGCTTAATTTCGAAATCTCTATTTTTGACAGGCGATTAAAGGAAAATTCAACCGACGATTGCAAACTATTCTGTTGAGTACGAACTTAAGATAGCTAGCATCAATAATCTATATCTCTGCATAATGTCATATTGAATGACAATTAAAATTTTTATACAGATGGAATTATCAAAAATTGAAAAACTTTTTGGATATAAAGAAATTAAAGACAAACATAAATAATTAAAATTTATAAGTAAAATATCAAAATGTGCACACAGATTGTCTCATATCAATTGTATAACATAATATGCTATTTTATATTGAAGATTTTATTACAATAAATATACTTTATTACAATAAATAACAAACACTTCAATTTCATCTTATTACTTGCATCGTATTTTAAAATAAAATGATTGCAATGTAAAGTAAAAATAAGAAAAAAAGCGGAAGGAGCTGAAAATATAATCATCAGAGAAATTTTCATTCGAGGAAGTCTCTAAATTTTATGACGGCGTTGTCGATGTTAATTTAATTAGCTTCCATGTAATTTGAATCGATCATTTAAATTGAATTTTCCACGCGAAGAATATTCTTGCACGCTGTGCAATCCTGAGCCGAAACTGATTATGGATCAGATTGGGCTTTGCTGTCATCTTACTGTTTTCCGTCATATCATTGTCGAACGTTTTACAAAGAGAACTGTACTGTGTTTATTAATATTCCTGTAAATTTTCGCGTGCGCGTTGTGTGAAATGTGTGAACAGACTTAAGTGACTCATAAACATTATTTTCGTGCTGTCGCTCGAAACAAATAGTGTATCTCTTTACAAACTGATGACAGAATGCGAGTAAATCACGTTTGTAATATCTTGTATTGAAAAATATCGTATAAATATTGAACATTATTGCACTTTTATGCTTTGCGTTATCGAAATAAAAGAGTATGTAAACAAATGTGTAACACTTTTTTAATTATTAAACATTTTTTCTAATAATAACTAATAGTTCGTATTAATCAGTATTGATTATCTTTGGGGCATCATTTATTAACATATCTGCTTGAAATTGAATTGAATTCGAAATAAACTTGTTCAACAAATATAAAGTTTATTGATATATTAACTTCACTGTCAAAGCAAATAAATTGATCACATATTAAATTAAAATATCTCAAAATAATACGATAATTAACATTAATAACAGTTATAGAATATTATCAGTATTTTGCTATCATATTGCAAGGGTTGCAATAGTGGACTGAATATTATAAAGATTCATATTAATAATGTAATGTGATTTACGTTGATTTAGTGAATATATATTTATTGAATAATGTCGATGTGTGTAATAATAATTATAAACATCAACATTTTATACTTTTATTCGGAAAATAATAGAATATTGATATATGGTGGAATTAAATGCTATTAAGAAATCAATATATAGACTACAGCATCGATGAATTAATATGATTAAAATTCAATATCCCTGAGGAAAACTTCATGGTTATTAATGACACTCTGGGGGCTTCGAGATAATTAAAGATTGGTATATTACTCACTATTTTAATCAATAAATATAAAAATCCATAAATATTTGAATGGTTAGTTTACAATAGAATATTAATTTTATAATTTATTTTTATTCGTATGTTTCATAAATATATATAAATGTCTATAGTGATGAAATAAATCTATATTTTTGTAAAATTCTACTTCTACAGTTAATATCTGCACAGATAATAATTATTGAATTAGAGTTTTACAAAAATATATATTACTGCGTCACAAATGTGTTTATATATCTTCGAAACGTTTCCATAATAACAAACTATAAAATTAATACTGATTTATTGACTAACCATCTATAATTTACAAATGCAGCACGGACATGCACCGAACAACAGTCCTACTTATCGGCGCAGCAGAATCGACAAATACATGTGTAGAACTATGATGAACTTTAAAATATTGCCTGCAGATAGCGACACTAAACAATGGTCGGCACGAGTTCACGAAAAATACCGGCCTGGCCAGATGAACCAGATATCTCTAACTATGATGATCTAAATGCAATTTAATACAAGTGCAACATTTAGTTGATTTGTTTTGTAATTTCTCATAATTCTATCTGCTTGATCAAAAATATAACAATGTCGGTTAAGCAAGGCGCACAGGTAATGTAAGATTATTCTGTTATGTAATATAAAGAAAAGTGCTAACCTGCAGATTTAACCTCAAGCTGAATATTCAGTGTTATGACAATGTTAACTGATTGTTGTTACATCATTTTGAATTAAAGTTTATTTATTCTGCTGTATATTTAATTTCAAATCAATATATAGTCAACTTATATTCTAATAATTAGAAAGCAATTGTACTATTTGTTACTAATTGTCTATGATTTATGCTCCAAATATTTTATTAATAAATAACATGTTTACAGCAATTTAAAATTTGAACAAAGCATTAATACTTTTCATAATTAAGCACAGTATTTTTGTCAATAAAGCTAATAGAAGAATATGCAAAACTGTTTCAGCGATTATATTATATGAAAAGACCAACTCGATGGGATAAAGGAATCGGTGCTGCATTACCAGAAGCATACAAAAAATTTTGGAGAGAATGGAAAATACAGCAGCCAACTGCAGTTCACTATGTTAAACAGGAAGGTGTTTATGTGAGAAATGAAGAAACTGAAGAAGTGTAAGATATATATAAAATTATAAATTAATTTTCATAAAAGAATGAAATATAATAATAAATATTTATATAATATCTTATAATAAATATAAAATCTTGCAATATAGTCAAACTTATGTATTTGTATTATTAATTATTTAAGCTGCTTTTTTACAGACGCCTAGTACAAAATGTACCAATACCTTTACAATACCCCAAAGAGATTCATCACGGTATATGGGGAGGAGAAGCTATTGTGCAAGGCTTTAAGAAAAAAGGCAGATTCAAGAGAAGAGTCCCACATTTTTGGATACCTTGTCTGCAAAAGTCTGTGGTCTACAGTGAAGTTCTTGACACGTATATGAGAATTGTTGTTACTAGTAGAACAATTAAATTAATTCACGAAAATTATGGATTTGACCATTATTTATTAAAGGTATATATAATCTAAATTAAAATATAAAGAGAATAGCTCAACTGAAAAACTTTTTAGAGATGCATTTCATAAGATTTGTTTTAATGGTTCATAATTATTATTTGCAGACACCAGCTTGTGATTTGAAGTCCTTACTTGCCTTGAAATTGAAACGTCAGATACTCATTGCATTAGCAGATAAAACTTTATATCCTGACAATCCGGAGAAACGCGCAGAGGTGTACGCTAAATATGAACAATACCTGTCCGCTGTAAGTTGTTTATATACTATTACCAAAGGACACTATTGAAAATTATAGATTTTACATGCCAAACTGAAAAAAATGTTTATCTTAATGTCAAAGTATCGACAGTTTTAACACATTATATTGCACCAAATACACGAATTTAATTGTTGTCACTGCAATACTAATATATTTGTAGTACACGAGAGAAGAAATAGAATGGTACGGTATGTCGTACGCGAATGCCTTGAAAAAGTTTTTAGCGTTAAAAGATACAACACCGCAACCCTTGAAAATCAAATATAGGTCAGAATTAATCGCCAAACTCAAGGAGAACAAAATTAAAGAAGCTGAAAACGTGGACGTGTCACCAGAACAAACGTATGTAACTATGCATATATTATTTACGCATTTATTTATGCGTTTCAAAATTTACAATAAGTGTAATTTTCTCTTACAGAAGTTCTTCGTGGTTAAGCAAAATAAATCCCTTTTCCAAAAGTCCAAAGACCGAATAGATAAATATTTATTGTATATTGTAAGGAATTTTGCAATATCTAACTTCTTAAATTCCTTTCTTCGAGATGTATGTTCTGTGACAAAAATATTCGTATGTAAGGAAGAAAATAAAAGATTTATTAAAAGAATAAAGTAATTATTTTTTTCATACATGATTGCTAATCTAATTTCTCATTACTTTAAGTCCAATTGCACAATTTGATAGGAAAATATTGCATCTTGTGATTTCGATGTCTAATTAATAATTCACATTTCTAATTTTTAAATCTACAATATCCACAGTTATAAAATTATTGTATTATAACTGTTCAAACAATCACAGTTACAAAATTACTCGGAGATTCTTGTACATAAAAGAATTGTAACATAGATTTGTTATATTTGAGATATTTACGTTGGTAACTTTTACTACGATAAAAATTATTTATCACTAAAATTACATTCACTACGAGATTGAGCATTCTAAGTCACCATCTTTTGGCAAACAATCCAGCGTCACGGCGATAGCCCTCGTAATATATGTCATTGTTCCAAAACTTCCACTGGGTGCAGAATCATAAAAATGTTGGCAAATATATGCTGCTCCACCACACAGTGGCATTCCCAAATCTGTCAGTTCACGTTGCTCCTTTGGTTTTGCACAACATAATGTTGCGTCGCCATCAATAGCCATCTAGAAATTTCACAATTATAATTATATTTAGAGGATGAGAAATTGACTTACTTTGCTGTTTTTAATAAAACATCGATATTCTCGCACTATCCATTCTATATTAACGTATTATTATGATGTATAAGCTTGATAAAAAATGAATCGCTTATTTCAGACGTAATATTCTAATACTAAAGCTTGTAATAGAATTATCGCATTATCAATTTGTCAATATTATATAAACAAAACATATCGGAATACCTGATCTTCCAAGAAAATAGAGTTTGCTTTATGCACTAAATTTTCGACTTGAATCAGACCACCCAATGATGGCACGACGTTGTATTCGGTCACTAATGTTAACACCATCAAGGCCTCAACAACAAGTTGACGATATTCCGGCTGTGGTATCGTGTTCAAAACGGTTTCTACAGCTAATGCAAATTTCAACTCGCCAGATGTCATTTCCTGCGTGAGATTTTGTGACAGCACTCTTCCTTCAATCGCTAAGCCGTTACACTGTTGAGAATTATAATTTTTAATAGAATTAAAATATCAAATCAGATATATACAGGATGTTCCATTTTAAATTACGCACCTGAATATCTCGTCAGGGGAGCCACCAATCCGAAAATAACTCTTACAAAAGTTGTTGGGTTCGGAGGGGGACATCCGATGATGACATTGGTTTAACCTAGGGTGTACATGCCAAGGTCATATGGAGGTCAACTTTATTTTTTTAAATGGAACACCCTATTTTTGATTCCAAAATCTAATAGCTGGTGTCAAGAGCTTTTCAAAACACTATAATAAAGTTATTTTTCATTAAGTACTTTTCGAGTTATGAGGCTTGAAAGTTACAGCATTTTGACATAAAATACAAAATATCTTGTAAAACATTCAATTTTCGGGAATCTTACCTTAATACTATTATGCACAAAATAATGAGACGAATCATTGGTATAAAGAAAACACATAGTTGCTTTCAAGAAAAAATATGTAATTTGCAACATGCAACTGCATACTTTTTTTTAAAACCAATGTGTTTTCTTTACACCAATTCATTTGTCTCATTATTTTGTGCATAAAAGTATTAAGGTAACATTCTCAAAAACTGAATGTTTTACAAGATATTTTATATTTTATGTCAAAATACTGTAATTTACAAGCCTCATAACTCGAAAAGTACTTAATGAAAAATAACTTCATTATAGTGTTTTGAAAAGCTCTTGACACCAGCTATTAGATTTTGGAATCAAAAATAGGATGTTCCATTTAAAAATACAAAGTTGACCTCCATATGACCTTGGCATGTACACCCTAGGTTAAGCCAATGTCATCGGATGTCCCCCTCCGAACCAACAACTTGTGTAAGGGTTATTTTCGGATTGGTGCCTCCCCTGACGAGACCTGAATATCTATTCAGGTGCGTAATTTAAAATGAGACATCCTGTATATTGTAATTATTCGAATGAGATTTATAAATTTACCTTTTCAAGTACTTGCCACACACGCGGATAGAAATCTCTCGGTACTCTATTTAGCGCACCGTCTAATCGTCGTCTTCGTAACCACTGGCCTTGTCGATCTGCTTCTGCCTCGGCAACATCGGGATTTTGATCAGCGGCTAAGAAGCCACCGATTTGAGATTTCTAGGCGAAAGAAAGAACTGTTACTCTTTACACTTTCAATAATATCTAATTTGTAATTGTAATAATAATATTACCTTGCTGACTCTGTTTGACTTGCAGCTGATAATGGAAAAGTTGCCGCGACCGACTGTAAAAATGAAGCATTTGTTTAAACACACATATGAAGCTTTAATTAATTGCAAAAAGAAAAAACAGAAACGCACCGCTACTGATGGCAAATTCTTTTCCACTCATAATATGATGCAGCAAATTCTTCATTTCAAAGGGGGACAGATTCAGCAGATGCTCCGAAGCTTCTTCACCGCTGCACTTTAAGGTGCGCGACAGTTCGGTTGCCATAACTTGGATGATCAGGCCGACGCGCAGTCGCAGCATCTCGAGAAACAGTTGCGGCTCCGTTCTGATAAACATCGCCAGGTAGACGATCAGCTCCTGCGTCAGCATGGCGGTTGATTCGTCGTCACCGTACGCCTGATGGATCAGAGTTCGCAGCTCGTTCTCGGGCAGCGGTGCGACTATCGTGTGCTCGTTGGTCGGCGGCATGCCGACGGTGACTTGCTTTTGACGCACCAGCAAATCGGTGACCGCTTTCGCCAAATCCTCCACCCTTTTGCCGAGCATGCCGGCGCTGTGTCGCACGATGCCCCACATTTTCTGCTGACAAGCCTTTTCATAGAGACTCTTTAGTAGATCCTTCACCAGAACGGGATGTCCTTCTTCCAACACGCCTGTGTCGAACTGCAGTCCCTTCGAGTCCACCTGCGAGCGGGTTTTAGCAGTTAATCTTGGAGAGTCTTGTTTCAAAAATTGAAATAAAGAGCTAACTAACGATATACTGAAGGATATCTCCTTGCTCTTCGAGACTCTCGGTTTCGCGCAGCATAGACAGCAGTTCCTCCACTTCAGTCTCGGCGTACTGAGTCTCCGAAATTGATCTGTGTTTGGTTTTAGGAGAGTTTTTCCACAACAGCAGTTCGTCCGTTGGCGACGGCGTGCGTTCAATCATCACCGGTTGGATGGCATTGATAGAGTTCAAAGTGGTATCTGTCACTTCAATAAACGGATGTGCAATTAGATTGAGAGAATGTCTACGGTCTTCCCCTGCCATTCCAAGAATCTCGGCTAAAATGGTACAAAAAGAACCTTTTAATTTCTATAGACTCATTGATATTAATTATACTATCACTTAAAATACAGAGAACGTTCAATACATTCCTGATAATGCTATGACAGATCGCATTTAAATACAGTGTTTAAAGCTGTACAAAAAAAAGGGTGTCCATATTATTGGAGAATCAATGTTATTAGCGTTTTACGTAAATTAAGAGAAGCAATTAAGGAAAAATGCGTGGAAAATTAAAGATGTTTTTCAAAAACTGCAAAAATTTCTTTAATACTTACGTTAAGAATATATTGAACGTCTCTTTATGTGTGTATGTTAACAAGTATCAAAGAGTATATTGAGAATATGCTATTAAATAGCTAGAAAAGATGGGCAGCACAATATTTTTATCGCAAAATAACCCATACAGCACACAAAGATTGCATACACATTGCATCAATCTTTCATCGCAATGTTGCAATATTGCAAATTTACTGCAAAATGTTGTTGCATCATTGCTGTGGGATTGCAACAATGTTAAAATGTCCGCCTTTAGGAAGATTGTAACGAAATATTACAGTAATATTGCAATGTAATGAATTTGCAATAATGCATTGTTATTGCAATCTTAGAATAGTGTTGTATATAATTTTATTTATTCGGACTATTTATCTGTCCGATTTCTGAACATCAGTTCAATATCTGAATTCCCTGTGTTAGGTCGTATCAGAAAAATTTAACTGATAAAAATAGTTACTAAGGTCTTTAACCTTACTAGTCACTCTTTGGAAGTTTTATATCATCATGACTAAAACTTAAATACGAGATAGATTTCGCGCGTCGCATAACGGTAAATGAACGAACTATCCAAGGAGAAATACAGATCAAAGAAACGTCTAATAGACATCTAATAGACGTCTATAGACGATGTCTATTAGACGTTTCTTCGACCTGTATTTCTCTCTGGATAGCGATTGTAATGTTTTTGCAATGTTGCTGTCACATTCTCATGAAATATTACAATTTAATGTTCCAATAATCTCTCAACAATATTACATTGCAACTTGCAAGATTGTAACATTGCTGCAATGTAAATGCAATGTTTTGTGCTGTATGGGAACTTTCTGTTCAAATTTAGATAGAAATTTCAGAAAGCATAATATCAAGGGTGCACATAGAGAGAGCGAGAGAGAGAGAGAGGGTAGGATACTTAGTACACTTACATTCTTGGAAGATAGTAGTAGTCACGGCAGTGGGAAGACAATGCAATAGCGTTTGCAATCCTCTTTAAAGAAATGCAATCAGCACGCAGTTAGAACATGAAAATCATTTCGTTCACTTTCTGACGGGACGAATGTTACTTACGCTCGACAGCTATGGATCGTGTCTTTTTTATCGCGCCTTTCACAGACATTTTACGTCGCAGATTTTTCCCCGCACGTATTGGGCCGTGCTTGTTAAGAAGTCCTGTACGATGAGGGAACGACCGCATTAGATGTTCCTCCAAATATTGTTGAATCTTGCAGACATAAATAAAATGTAAATTATGTATATTATCTAAGCGGGCGAAAAAAATATTAGATCTGAGTTTGTGCGAAGCGTGTGCAATCCAATCGAAAATACAGCATTACAAACTTGTAAGACAATTTAGAAATTTGGCAAAAAATTCTACTGCTTAAATTCTGCATACCTGAGGATTTAGTTTGTCAGGACGACCGTCTTCAGAGCTTCCCAAAAAGCTGAGATTCGTAATGCACGACGTGCTCAAAAAATCGTTCAAATTTCCCAACGACACTCTAGTGCCATTAATGTAGCCGCTCTTAAGCTTCTTCATGGTGGTTATCATGGCTAACGGTATTTTACCTTGATCTGGAAAATCGGTAATTGATCGGTAATTGATTTTAATAAAAAGAAACGAAAACGAATACATATCTTTCGCAATAAAGACAGCAACATACCCTGCAGCTTCTACGCACAGAGTGTCACAAAATTTGGATATAGAAACACTGCGGTAGAAAAATTCGCAAAGGACTAAGTAATGAAAGCACATGCAACTGTTTACTCCAAACAATAATTTTTTAAATAAAAGAATTTGAAATTCGACCAATCGTAACATTAACACGCTATACGCGTAATTCGCGGGAAAACAATTTAATTGCGGTTCATAATTTTAAACAAGCCTTAAATTCACACTTCAAAAACTATTGCTTGAGATAAAAAACTCACTTTCGTTGTTATCACATAATTCTTCGCGAATTTTTCCGCTGCAGCGTTTTCACACTCGCATTTCTGATACTCTGCATGTAATTTTTGACAATCAATCTTACACTAACACTGTGTTGTACAACCCTATGTAATATTCGACGAGCTTTTCGTTATAGGAGGAGATCTAAAGCTGTCTGACGAGGGCATACCTAAATGATTATGAGTAGCAACAAGGGTTATAGTTGGTCTGCCGAGCATTTGCTTCCAGTTGATTTTGAGGAAGGCCAAAGTGGTTGTGAAAGTGTTGACAAGCAGGTCGCCGTCGTTTGTCGTGTAGTACTCCTCCGTGTCAAAGTTCTAACACATGCAACACACGCGCATACCACCAAACACATCACATAGTAAGCCATATCTTTAGAACGACTATATTGCTTGAAGAGAAAGCAATCTCGCCTCGAACATTTGCTTTTACCCCGAATGGTATCGATTGGATCTTCAATATCAACACAATTCACAATCGCATCCACTTCTGAGGTCCGAGTGACCGAGTCATGTTAGTAAGAATGTAATAAAACGGAAAATGGAAACTATATTAAAAGCTCGCGTTGTAACCCTCTATGGATATAACTTCTATAGCGAACATTTACTCATCTCGAAGCCTAAATTGTACAAATATCAAACCTAAATTGCAGAATAAACCCCGAAACTTACATTACAACGGACGCTTGCTGACGTCAATATACAAACTTGAAGAAATAAAGATATGCTGGCGATCAAAATCATTCACAAAGTGTTCAACGCGACCAAAAAAGGACCATAGAGGATTAAATAACTGTTAAATGAGAACCATGACAAAAACAAAGTGCATGCAAGCAAACAAATTAGTTGTTGAGGACGGACAGTCACAGCGTTTGCGGGAAAACGAAAATCTCACGCAAGAAATTCCTCAAAATTTCTAAGAATACATAAGAGCCACAGAATTTGCTTAATCGTGACAACTCCGACGGCTCTCGAAGAGTCTAAAGTGGCTATTGAAAAAAGAAAAAAAAAAAAGAACTATGATCTTGAAATCGTTAAATTACCTAGATGAATGTTCTTGAGGGGCATGACCACTAGGGGCCGACCCAACATATTCTGCCAACTAGACTTCAAGAAATTAATTTCACCTTTGAATATGTCAATCATGAGCTCATAGTCCGATGCGATGTAGAAGCGGGTCATATCTGTCAACTAGTCAATTCGGTGCGAGAACAAGAGCAAACGTAAGAAAAGAAGTAAAGATATAGAAAGATAGTGAGAACTCGCTGCAAAGTGCGGTCACTTACTTGCGGCGTGAACGCAAATATCTTATCTTGCAAGGCGTACAGTTTACTAGTGCTGAGAATTCCGACGTCTCTCGACTTGCGTCCCGACAAGCCCAATTTCTTGTTGCGTCCTGAAAAAAAGAGATACAAGATATTTGTAAGAATGTAAATATAATCTACAAGATACTCAGATCGCAGTTTAAGCATCTCTAAACTGTGTGCAATTTGGAATTCTACCTAAATATGTGTACAGATGGCTGAGAACCTTCGCAGGTTGCACCTCGATCGGTGCAACCTCTGCAATTGTCTGCACGTGAATATCGTGCTGTGCAATTTTCTCCCTGATTTCCGAGTCCTCTGCTAAGATAACTACTTGCACAACTACGTCCGGCTTTTTCTCACTGCACAGTCGCCTGTTTAACGGATCTAACTCGCCAACCGCAAGAAATCCCTGCAATTATAAAAAAAAATCTTGCTAATGTGGCAATTAATGGCATAATTTTATTGAAAATTGGTATTAAAACTATTTAGGAAAACGTATAACTTAAAAAATCTGTTTTGATCACACTTCTGAACGTGTTACGTACCTCTTGCAGCAATTTTCCTAAAATATAAAGAGATTGCGCCCACATAAATGGACATCTGCCTAAAGCTATTCGACTTTGACTACCAGGTTCGGCGTACTCCGCCGATACATCTTTAGGTGCGACGGAATATAATTCAGGTACTAATTTCATACCGTCATCCGTTTTAATCATTACTTCCTCCAACTGTTTGGTGCACATCTCAACTGCTTCCTTATTGCCTTGGAAGCAGTAGTCCAATATTAAATAACAGAAAAACAGCGGCCATTCGCATTCAATATTCTCAAACATACGGAGCTCCCACGGCTCATAATACAATCTAGATTCAGAAATAAAAATCGTTAACAAAAGCACATATAAAAGTATTTTGCATGTGAATAATACCTGTTCATATCTTCCTTCGGCGTTTTATATCCATCCCTCAAAAATCTTTTACAACCATAACGCCCTTGCAACTTCTTGATAACAGCCTCGCGTGTCTCGTGAATTAGATTAGGCTCGTCCACTGCAAACGCGGGGAAACTTATGATGGATAGCAGGCCGCTGTCTAATTCTTTAGAGTTTGATTCTCTGGGCAGCATGGATTGCAAAACCGCTTGACACTTCTGCGCCTCGTCGGCCAAAACATGAATGACCGAGGTGGGTCCACCCCTCGCACCAAACAAATCCAATTCATTCATCGCTTCCATCGCAGCTTTGGCCATTCCGATACTGCTTGCGTTTAACTCCGGCAAGCCATGATTTGTTTTATCTCCTCTCTCCCAAATTCCATAATCTGGAGTGCAGTAAGCAGATTCGATGTAAAATACCAAGTTTTGAATAAAGGCCACCTAAAATCCAACACAAAATTCTATAAATCTGACACATAATATGCAATGTTCTTGTATTAAGAATGTATTTCTAATATTTTATCAAAAAATATAGCTCTCTCAAAATCTCAAGTATCATGTATTCATACCTCATCCAAATTGAAGACAATCTGTAAGCCAGAGGCTGTCATTTGGGCCAAAATTAGAAGGTACAAAGAAATCGCATCAATTTGAAGATGTCCCCACTCAGCATCCCCAACAACACTTTGGCCATTGACTGAGCTGTACTTTGCATGCAACGCATCATGTGGATTTTGAGTGGATTTGAACTTCTCCACTTTTCCTTTCTGTTGCATCATTGCCATCAGCAAACCTCTCATTAGCTTTACGCAACTCTGCTCGAGTTCATAAGTCTTTGCTCTGTCTTCATCAGCGTCAGCTATTTTTTTATACGCCATTGACAGACCCCATACGGCAAGTATACAGTAAATATTGTCGCGTACCCAGGCATGATCGTTATCAGGACTTGCAGGAAAGAGTCCTGTGACAGGGTTCTGATGGTTCATAATTATTTTATGGACGATCCGTTGATAATAGTCCAAACGGACGCCGGAGTTGCTTCTGCTACGCATCTTGCTTTTACTGCAGAAAAAAATTACTTTAGATTCTATGTTTAGAAAGATATTGTAATTAAGCACTTAAGATTCGACTGTGCATAACCAAAGTTCTTTGCTGTTATACACTTTTCACTTTCTTGATAAGTATTTAGTTTTGTTACATCGGTGTAATTTCTATTGTACATTGCGTCGTCATTACATAAAATAATCACGGGTTATACGAAACTGTGAATGACGAAATAATCATGAGTCAAAACAATACAAAATACAATATAATCAAATACGTGTAAATAAAAAATGTAACAACGCAATTTTTGTAGTAACACCAAATATTTTATGTAAATCTACTACTGTAAACACAGAAAGTTAAATGCACAAATTAGTTACAACAATTGCACTTCCGGAGCGTTTAAAGTACAGAGAAGAACAAGCTCTAATTTTAGATTGGAATAATTGGTTCGCTGTAATCATTAATTAAGCTGCAATAAGTATCTTATCAGCAGCTGTTGTTTTTCGAATACAAAAACGACGGATACTTTGAACGTTAGGTTGGCAGTGTCACGATAAGAAAATGAGAAAAATACATTTTCTTACGCATTAATGAAGCAGTTGCAGCTCTAGCGATTTAAAACGCAATGTGAAACGAATGTCAAACACGCTCGACGCTTGATACTGGCATATATATAGCTAATTCAGAGGAAAATCTACGTATGCGCAGTAATGCAAGTCTTAACAGACTCGTGGTTTTCAATCTCTTTCTTTTTTTAGCAACAAGTAAATAGATTTATCACAAAAAAAGTAGGAATACACACTTTAGAAAGGTTAAATGACTGAAAAGAAATGACATTAATATAAAAAATCCTAAAGTAAAATAGCTTCAATAATGGCAATTATAATATGTCTATACAGACCAATGCAGACTCCAAGATGAGCTTTGCGTTGCATTTAAGCACAATTTTATTTATCGTATGATCGGTCAGCTGTGTACATATACGTCACATGCGCAGAAAAATGATAGGCTAATCTGTGGACTAATAAAGAACTAGATTATCCGGAAAATATATTTTTATAAGAAGTGAGAGACACGAATTAAAATTGAAATCAAATTTTGCATTATTCGGTATTAGAAAAAAAACATGATTTATCATTCCAATAATTTTTCGAAGATACGGAATTCTGTATCCGACAATGTAAATACAGATGGCGATAGTGCTGTTTAGGCTCTTTTTGCTTCAATAAATTTCTAATCTAAATAAAAAATACAATTGACAGACATACACGCTTAAATCACTTTAATTTTTTTGTACACGCTTCGAATTGTAACCCTTGTTAAAATGCTTAAAGAATTAATGTTTAATTATCATAAAAATAGACCAGCTTAGGTCGAGTTTGCTGGTCAAGAACTCCATTTCGTACAGCCTGACTTCGAAGAAGGAAAGAGAGAGAAACAATGTAGAAAGTGCTGCCTGTCGAAACGAAACGAGACACTCTATTCTCTTACGCACAACAGTTTGCGGTGGCCATTAGTGACTATGGACTAGCGATCGCTTGTTGTTCTCGGTCCTGTGGGCAGCTTATTATTTTTTTTATTTTTAGTTTTTAACCGAATATCTCGCCGCCTAATTCTCAGAGATTTTCCGATGCACCGATCTGATCCACGACGCGGTATGATCGCGTTCGATTTTCCACGCGTGCTGCTGGTTACGCTGTTCACCGTAGCTCTAACCTCATCTGTCAACGCGCGACGGTTCTCATCAGTAGATGGTACGTTCTCGATACCGAAACTCGGATGAAAGGTTTGAACGAATTACAGGATAGAACTGTTTGATCATTTCGATATAAAAACATTTGAAGCTTTAACAATTATTGTCTAACAGTTTGAAACGATTCTAAGTAGATTTGTTCGGTCAATTGTTTGTAACCATTTGTAACGCTTGAGTTGCGACTGTTTGAATGAAAAGACTATAGTGTCTATTGAAAACTGGAATAACCAGTTTTGTTTATTTCCCTTTCGCACCACTGCTCTTATCTAACTTTGCTAATTTATTTAATTTAATAAATAATAATAAATAAAAGGCAGAAAGTTATTCATGCAGTATGCATGAATAACTAGTAAAGGTTCTTTCCGCCTTTTATTTATTATTATTATTTGTTAAGTTATTGAAGCCTACACTTTTCTATTAATTTTTATTTAAATTTAGATTGGGTCTTGTATGACAAATCTGTAGCTTCGAAAAATTCGGCAAACAATTCCGAGTTCGAGCAAGAATATCAAATAGGTAAAACTGCTCAATCCCCGAAAAATTCCGAGCACCATACGGAACCAGTTCAGAATGCCACCAAACAGGATTTTTCTGCCGAATCGAATACGTCGGCGATCGTACATTCTTCCGAAGCTACTAATAACAAAACAAAAATGGAGGTAATTATAATATGTATGTTATTTGATGTATTTATATATGAGAATTGGGAAATTTTTCCTTGTTTTGCTGACTATTGTTTTATTATTTTACTTTGCATTCCTCTGTTTGCTTGTTTCTTTTTGTTTTTACGGACTTTTTCATTTTATGACGTTTCGCATATTTTTAATTGTAGTTTCCATTTTGGCACCTTCTTACTTTCTGTTTTATATATTTTTTGTCTTATTTCTCTTTCCTTTTTATTATATTTAAGAATATTTAATTTTATAGTATTAATATTTATTAATTAAATTTATTAATATTTAATTTTATTCTATTTAAGAATATGTATTATTTAATAATAAGATAATTATTCAATAAGAAAAATATTAAATAGTTTTATAAAGAAGTAAAATATTTTTTAAGTGGGCGGAGGGAGGGCTTGTGCCTGTATCATTTTCAACCATTCAACACAAAAATACGGTGACTAACAGTACAGCTGCAATTGAATCTGACAAACCTAACGAATCTAGAACAAGAGAGAATGTGCCTAAGGAGAGAAATGCGAATCCTTCCGTAGTTCCGAAAAAGGGAGCTGAGAGGAAAAAGAAAATTCATTCGAGAAAGGGTGTAAATGAAACTGTAGATTCAGATATCAACCATGCCACTTCCGAATACGCAAAATCCGTGGAAACTAGCTCCGTGACAGAAGCTGCTCATATCAATAATCAAACTGAAACTTCCAACATTACTATTTCAAAACTAGATGCCAGCAGTTCACGCTCCAATAACAGTTTAGATCATAATGTAAATCTCAATAACTCTAGTACAACTCTGGCATCGACAAACACAACCATACTTCATGCAAAGACGAACGTAGTTCATAATGCAACAACGATAGCGCCAAAAACTTCGTCGCATATACCGAAACCTAAACCAACAGTGACGACTGTTGACGGGCCGGAAGTTAACGAGTCTATACCATCCTCGCGGACAAAGAATTCTTCGCTGGGGATGCCCAGGAAAATCGACTATATCGCGCCAGTTATTATAACAATTATCGCTCTACCGATACTGGGTGCTGCCATTTTTATGTTGTACAGACGCGGTCGAGATTGCTGGGATAAAAGGCACTATCGAAGAATGGATTTTCTAATTGACGGAATGTACAATGACTGAGGAAGTGCGTGTGAGAACAAAATCCGTTTCATGAGATTAAATGGACGTGTAGTCATGCAAGAGGAAATCAATCGTCAATTTTTCACAAATACAAATTTATACTTGAGCGTCCTTTTAAAATAACTGAAGAATAGCATTGGTTTTTTCTTACATGACACTGTCCAAACGATAACTTTATCATCGGAATATATCGAATGGCTTAACTTTATCATGCCATTATAAAAATATAGAATATGTGCAATTATTTATATAATATTGAAATAACGTATAAGCTTGCTTTGCTTGATGGCCTAAGCCTGCTATACAATTTTTTATCATTTTATTGTTTTGCTAATAATGTAGTTAAAATTTTCTACACTTTATATACTACATTAATTTGTTATACAATAATTGACGTATTGAAGTTTATTTTTAAGATTATATCGAAAGAGAGGAACATTATCTCAATTTTCAGATTGAAATAACGATTTGATAAAGATAATTTATAGCAACTTTCAAATTTAATCTAATTTTTGGAAATACTTTATAAATTTATACTACGGAAAATTTTTTTTGAAATTTTTACTGTTACAATAGAAACTCTACAGTAGAAAAAATTGATATGTAAATATATCTAACTATACATATACATATATATAGTGTACATATCGCATTTAATGCCATTTAGAAATCGTAAGAGATTCATCGAGGGTCCAATTGCCAAATTCGACAATAATACTAAGCAGTTTAAGTTCTGCAGACTTAGAATTATATTCTCAATTCAACAAAAAAATCGTATTGGACTTTGAAAGTGCTTGCTCAGCGAGTAATGCGTGATTGTTTCCATACAAGAGACGAGTTTGTAAAATATTATTTAATTACGAAATGCGATAATGTACACAAATTTTACCAAAGAACTACTCATTTTGTGTAATATGTCGTATATTTGTTAATTGTATTTTTTTTTCGTATTGTATTTATAATCGTTGCATTTTTTTTTTTGTGGAATGATTTATGAATTTATTATCTATTTAAAATAATGAAGACACTTTATCTACAATTGCCATACACGGAATATCAAAGCCATCGCAGAATATCAGGCAGCTTTAACATTGTCTCTCTATGTAAATATAACGAGCAATGATTTGTAAAATTACTCTAAGTAAGACTTTTTGAAATTGTGATTTTTGAAAGTGAAGTTGCGTTTTTGGGACTTCAAAAAGTCTATATTTTGTGGATGCGCGAGAAAGCAATAATGACAATTATTTTTGTACTATATACATATATGTAAGAGAAAGAAACTATTCATATTGTTACAAAATATACGCACTTGCAAATCGCATATTGCTACTGTTATTTCACAACCCTTCGGTGTACATCATAAAAGCTTAAAAAAAAAAAAAGATAGAGAAAAGAATGGATTAATATTTGTAAAGATTTTATTAATAAGCTTGTCATATAGGTACATAAATTTAATAACGTTAGTGATACATATAATTTACGAGCCTTATATACCCGACGAAAATGCAAAGAGAGAGCTTTACATATGTGCACACGCTTTACATATCTGCTCGCTCAAATATTAAACCTTCAATTTGTTCCTTATTGATTCCCCTGGTGTAATCTAACGTGACTTCAAATTAATACAGCTCCGTGTAGCTCTTGTTTTCTTCTAAAATCTTGTCTTTAGTTTCAAAAATACTGCGTCGTGAAATACGACATAAAGTTGAAGTTAGCAAAATAAGACAAAAATATAGACATTTCCTTTTTCGATTTCGATAAATAGAGTTCTTCTTCGCAAAAAAAAAAAATTTTTTTTGAGATATGACGAAAAAGTTTCATACCAAAGATTCATTGTCAGATAAAAAGTTATTTTGGTGTTAATACGTATCTATTTATACCTCTACATAATCAATATATTTCCATTGTATTCTCTTTGAATCCTAAACGTCCGGTTCTAACACCCTAAGAAGAGAATTGTATTTATCCTAAAGAAATACAGTTACTTAGATTATACAGTTACTCAGATCGTATATTAGATTAAACCTAGTTTAAGCTAATATCTATGCTATGGAAACGTGAAACTAAATATAAAAATAGTTACGTTCGAAATGCTATTCATTTTGTGACCTCCGTCATAATATATTTGAAAATATTCTTATGACAATAAAATCTCAAATAATAATTGAAGTGAGAATTCAAAAACATTATCATACAACGGGATGATAAAAACATTTTATTTTCATTTTTTTTTTTAAGTTTATTTTTTTATCATTAAGAAAATAAACTATTGTCCGTTCGATTTCGTCGAAGTAGTTTCGGAAGTGTACATACACGCATATGTACCCTAATTTTATAAATTCAACGTGTGTCAAATATGTCAATGCCATCCATTAAAATATCACACTAGTAGATTTAACGTAAGAACTTGTGCATGAATGTACAGCTTAAATACACATTGTTTTCAACATTAATGTTGAAAACATTATAGAAAAAATGTACGAATAGCATCAAGGTTGAACTGAAAGAAAAACTCGACATCAGAAAACCTCATTTATATCACATATATACAATGTGGAAATAGTATTACTAAATTTACAATAAAAATATTTATAAATAAAATATATATATAGATCTAAAAATTAACAATTTTAATAAGAAAATATCTATTAAAAATCAGTATAAATAAATATTTAAATAAAAATTTCATTTTGTTATCCAAGAAAATAGAGAAGATTTTATTATCAACTTTTCTTTCGTATATTTAGAGATATAAATACAATCTACAAGTAAAACTCTCTACGAGACCATCTCGTTACTTTCTCTATTCAGTTCAACCTTGAATGGCATTTGTATATACAGTCATTATCACTAAACCAGCGAGTGGATAGCCGAGTTACTCGCGACAGTTCTTTAACTAGTAAGTCAAACATTACACGACACATTCATTGAATAAATTTCTAAAAAGGATCTGAAATTTCAAATTTCAGTAAACAAAGTATTAAAAAGAAGTAAAATGTGAAAAGGTATAATACACAATATTAAAAAATATTTCTTTTGTATAACATATAAAACTTATAAAAATGTAACATTTCAAATAAAAATCAATTCAAGTATTTTAAATTTTCAATAAAAAAAAAGAAAACAAGTGCGTGTTACCGATTAAATGATCGATCGTGATTATGTACTTCTGGAAATTTACTTGATTTTATTGAAGAAGCTTACCGATCTTATCTCCATCAGGATAAAAGCAATTATAGTCACGATCTGTTTCCGAACTCGGTCGCCGCAGTTGCGGAAATACACCCAGCGCGAAAAGTTTCTCTCTTTAGAAATGATTTCGAAAACTTTCGTACAGGATCCCTTTACTTCGACTTGTATTTCACCTCGTCCGGGAATGCCTCTCTGGGCGGCACGAGGCTAAGCATCATTATGTGACGTGCGTAATTCCGCGAGTTGCGGAATTGTGTGTCGGTGCCGTGGATGCGATCCAAAACGCCGAGTACACCGTAGCACTGGTTGAATCTGTAAGTATTGTTTAAAATAAGCAGCTGTAAATCTTGATTTTTGTGCGAAAGTCAATCGATCGAGGTTGCGTTAGTATAAAATTTTCAAAAAAGTTTTACGAAATCCGCATTACTTCAAATGATGAAAGTCGTGCGCCTCCGGCGATGGGAAGAATGGTAGTGATAGCCAGAGTGTGCGTTCAACGTCGAAAGGATCGCGAGTGAGAACCAAATCCAGGCGGTGGCCACGTGCGAGCCCATGATGAATACGCCCAGGAAAGGCGGGAGTAGATTTGAACCGATATGCTCCACAGGATGACAGTACAACGCGGTGACGGCCACCGGCGCGGTCCATTCGTGATGCTGTTTATGTATATACTTGTATATGGAGCGTTTGTGGAGAAATCTGCGAAATGAATCGATAGCAATAAACATTGTAAATTAAATTAAAGAAATTATCTATTTGAGCTTTTTTATTAACAAATTATATATTAAAAAATAGCTTTTTCAGAACTGGGTGTTGGTTGTTCAATAAAGAAAAGTTAACAATTAGTTAATTCATACGTCTCGGTTCATTTTATCTGGCCATCTTCAGTGAACGATAAATATTGTTTCCAACTCCGCGCATTCCACGCTCAATTCGCTCAACAATGGCGTATCGGTTTTTGAGTTAGCGGCTTTCAGGCTTTACCTGTGTGAGTAATAAAAGCCAATCTCCTCGCATAGTATGTGAATCGCGATCTCGGCGAGCACCCAGTGGAAGGTCGGCAGCTCGCGCACCGGTGAGTAGCCTCGCCATTCCATGAAGTAATAGCCGAGATACATAATGGGAAAGCCGACGACGATCTGATTGAATAGTACTTGAGCGATCACTTTGCATAACTCCTTCCTGTCCACTGGCTCATTCGTGCCGGGCTGTATTTTGTATCTGCGCAGTGCCGACGGCCGATTGGTGATGTCTAGGATGGTGTAAATCCCGCCGACGACCCAGTAGACGACGATCGTCAGCGATAAAGATCCTGCAAGTCATATATGAGGGTTACGAGAGAACGAATTGTGTAGCTTAATGTTTAGAAAAAGTCGAAATTAATCGAAAGAATTTATTTATTTAATGTTCAGCTGCGCGAATTTGTGACGCAAAGTACTCTTCTCTTTTTAATACAATTATTGTGACAATTTGCAGATGTAATCAAAAGATGTAGAATGTCAGAACATCTAATTTTTATGTCAATTATATATTGTATAATTTAATAAATTTAAAGTTAACTTTTTTTTAACGAATTATATTATGTTACTTGATGTTTAGAAAAAATCAAAAATTAATCGAAAGAATTTGACTAAAATATTGAAGAATTGAATTTACCGTAAACCCACAGCGTAACAGCATCATCTCCAAACTTATCTAAAATTTTGTCCCACTGGGCTTGCCAGAAGTCGCCGGATGCGCCCCAGAATCTCTGCAAATGCCTAAAGTTTTTTTTTTCATTAGTAAAATCTGAACAATGTCAAATTTCTTCAAAATAAAAGAAGTAAATTTATAAGCGTCATAAATAGGAAACGTACAGAAAATTAGCTTGTTAAGTTTTATTGGACTACATACGTCACGATAAATGTTTTTTAATTTCATTTCGTGCTAGAATCGAAACATGATTCCGTTTATTAATATGCAGCTTCTGTTATCTTACATGCGGTCAAGTGATAATTATAAATTAATGATACAGCGCAAAGTCAGTACAAGTCAAGTTCATGGAGACAAGGAACAGATAAGTCGAAAGAACAAGGACGGAGAATTATATTGTTTATAAAATTAGATGTAGATAATAATGCAATTCGCGTTACCATGTCAGAGAATTGCAGAAGGCAGCAAATCCGATTACCACAGTTCCGATAACGAAGAGCACACTCCTTAGACTCGACAGAAGCGTCGGCGGAGTTTGGTTCTTCGAGGCATCGCCGATAGCCGGGGTTGCTGCAAACAATGATGAATTAATCGTAGAAATTGTTAAATTAAAAAATTAAAAAGTATTAAAAAGACAGTGAACATTGGACTTGAGCTCACAAAAATGATTGCAAATTCAAATGATATATTAATATCTAATAAGAATGATTTATTCTTTTCATTTTTCCTTCAAGCAGGCATAAATAATTTTTTTTAGAAGCAAATGTATTAAAAGATAAGTTTTTGATGGAAAACGTTTCGCTCTCGTATGTTTTGTTTGAGCAATAGCATCTGCAATGACCGATTAATCATCTTTCATTACGTAAGATAAATCCAGCAGTATTCTATCGTCGGTATGCGACAGGTGCTCGACTAGAAAACCAATCACGAAGCAAAAGCAAGCGGAAATTTTCAATCGCCACTTCATATTCATCATAAAATCCGTTTAACAAGATGAAGAGTCAACGAAGAGAAAGAGAGAGAGAGAGAGAGATGCAAGCGTGTTTCAATTTTCGAAGATTAAGATGAATTCCGTTTCGATCATATCACAAAGTTATCTTGAATATACTATCGATATAGTTTGTACACATTTGCATACTTGATATTGTGAAAAAGATCTAATTATTCGATATGATCGCAATATTTCGCACGACCGGTTGATCTTATTCGAATAAAATTTATAATTCTCTGCACATGTTATGATTCTCAATTCTCAGTTTTCAATTCGCTGCTTGTCGAAAAAAAATTATCTTTCCGTTGTGACATAAGTAGCTAGTGACATAAACAGAAAAACGTGATCGCAATATATACACACAGAAAAATATCATTCTATTGCTAAGAAAAGTAATTACTCGGCTTACTTTTCTTTTTTTAAGTAACAATTATCTTTAATAAAGAATATTTTCTTGATAATAGTCTTAAAATATACCCATCACAAATTTTTGATAAACTCATTATTATATACTCAAAAGAAGTAGTTATTTTTTGGTGAAGAATATTATAAAATTGTATCAAAGAAAAGTCAGATTTGGTTAATTTAATAAGCAAATAGAATTCTTTTTTTAATTTAATATTCTTGATTAAAGTATTAAACTTACTGAGATCAAAATATATTTTGAATAAATTTGATGCTTATGATGAACTTACGATAGATTTGCGTATATATGAACTTATAAAATACTTAAAACAAGTAATATTTACTTAAATACAGTATGTATTTTTCTGTGTGTAAATACTTATATCGCACAAAGTTTCAAATGTGATATTGATTATGTAACTTGTATCTTTTTTTCGTGCGCAGCTCTTCCAACTCTCTCATTTACTAGTTGCAATTAGTTAAATACGCGTGTAGTTCGGTTTTACCTTGAAAAGTGATAATAAATTGACGCTCATACGCATTATCTTTATTTGTGCTTCGCCGTTATCGCTGATACAGAGCAGAAAAAAAAAGCTAAAGAACAATTTACTCATTACTTTATTCGTACGGATGTCTATTCGTTTACTCAATTTCGCGATATCGCAATTGTTGCAATACGGATTTACGATTATACCTTCAGATTGCATAATTATCACCCTCCATTATTTTAAAATTTTACAGACGTTTAAAATTTTTGCGCTTTGTATAAAATTTCGTGCTTCTTTCAAATCGATCAAATTAGACAAAATATATGTAACTTTTAACCCAGTGACCTTTCTACGATCTCATCGCAACGATGCAGACTCATTTTCTTCTTATCAGACCATGTTTATTTGCTCCGTATGATAATTTAATCAATAAAGTTTAATGTGTTGGTGGTGCATGCTAAGCTACGAATTATGTACGAAAATACTCGATATTTTTTTACATATGTATACCGATTAATCGTACTCGTGCGACAGCACGTTGCGGTGCATGAGCACTTGATAATTCATGCCGTTTATATTTTAGTACGCTTTCACGGTGCTACACTTATTTATTTATCAGCCAAGCACACGAATTCCGAAGTCTACGACTACGACTGTCGATTTAGTCGTGATTCTTTTACGATGTCGCGAATTGTTTCTTAGCAGATAAAAATGAAGTATTAATATCAATAGCACGACAGCAACTCGTCTTTCTTTTGTCGAGCATGACAACATGCGTGTCTAAAATGATGAGCTCTGAAGATATAATTTAATGAAGTCATTTGTGGATGTTATTGTGGATGTGCGATAAAAATGTACTATTTAATAAACCATTCAACAAACGATCTGATAATAAATACTTTACAATCACACATCTCTTATCAATATTTAATTATTCTGACAGAATTGGAGCGTACTTTGCATCAGCATTATTTGAGTAGAAAATTGGAATACATTTACACGTTGAAAATCAAAAATTAAGAAAAACAAAAAAATTTCAAATATAAAGAAATAAGAATTGTTTTTCGATTAATTTTAATCGAATGGAAATTTAAGAATTATCAAAGCATTTAATATTAGAAACGACGAAATTGGCCGCACGTGCAGCCTGTACGAAGGACTTGTTAAAGTTTTATCAAAGTCGAATTCGGACACGCCGGGGACTGTGTCACATTGAGAAATTGCACAAGGAAATGGATGATTGATCAATAAATATATTACGAAGCGGAAAAAAAAAATAAAAAAGAATAGAGCGAAAGCTTCATTATTTCTATTAAAGTAACACTACCGCCCTATACAGCTCGTAAATGACCGAAGCGTTTGTTAATAAAATTCCTCTCAGTACATGTGCAACACATGCAACAGTATCGATCATTATCCATCACAAAGAAACATCCATTACCTAAATTAAAAACAGAGTTGTTATGCGAATATACACTTCTCAAACGATGCATTAAACTTGTATACCAAAACGGAACTCTTTTTTTTTTCCCCCTTTCATTACATCACAAGTGCGCGAAACAGCAATTTGACGTAGCAATTAATATATGAAGCGTTGTAAATGTCAGCGTTCCGCACTGTTTAGACATTTAAATATATGCAGAATCTATCGATATAAAAAGTGCGGCCGAAAAAAAAAAAGATCATTTCGACTGGTTTGTGCAATGCGCCTTGACTTTATCGCGGACAACGATTGGCTATTTCGCAACGATTATTTTATCCAGGAAACTTGTTACTTCAGAAGCGCCTTCTACGCACTCGATATCGTCAACAAGAAATTACGTGTAAACGGCTAAGTGTCTAAGAAAGAGCATTAATTCCCGATCGCTAGCTCCAGGCGATTTATCCGTGTGATCACGAGATGCGCCTTCCCGAGCCGCCGCTATTATTATCGAGCATCGACGTTGGGCACTCACTTTTCGCGCTGGACCCCGACTTTTGCGGAATTTTTCGACGCCAGAACATCGTGTGTCCTAAACGAGCGGCGGCGCAACTGGTTTCTCGAGGAAGAGTCGTCCCGTCGCGTTGGCAGAACTAACGGTTTCGCACCGAGCGTGGTGCGTCGCGATCATTCGCCGCTGCTAACCGCTGCACCTCGTGTCGTTAAGCGAGCCGTACTGACCAACAACGTTTCACGACTCTCCAACGAAGGTCCGCGAACGGCACGTCCGTGCCCGTCGCCCCGGCGCCTCCAATTTTCTTTGTTTACGTCGCGACTAGGGTAGGGACGCCTGAGATAGTTCGATAGCATCGAAGCCGATGTTTTGCTCTCTCCGTGCCGAATATTTTCGGTGTCGATACCCACCGTGATTATCGCAATCGAATTTGCTTCAATATTTTTGACCACTTTTGTCCTCGATTAACGAAACAAGGGCTTGCCAAAGGATTGAAATCTATATTTTCACTTCACATTTTTTGGCCTTGAATGTCTATCTGCAACATTTTATTTCCAATATAAAATACTTTTTATACCTCTTTTATATCTCTTCGATAGGCACAATAGATGCTCTGAACAATTTTTTTTTATGAACGATAATTCTGCAAGAACTTTTTTATTTCTTTATGAAGAATAATATAAATAAGCGGCGAGTTATATTCACATTCGCGATAATTTATTAAATTGAGCAATTCGGAAGTGCATTGACGTCATGAAACTTTTAAGAGCATTTATCCCGCATAAAATATTAGGTCGTAAGATAGTTCGCAGGTCGAAAATTATCTCAAGCCGAAATAAATGGCATCGTGTGAAAAGATAATTATTGTTACATGATAATTATAATTTCATGTGTATATAATACGTGCAGTTAAACATATCACGTAAATGCGACGCATTCAACGAATAAAGGCATTATTGCACATTATGAATCATCACCTCCGTTTCGTTTCTTATCTCGAACAAAGTGCGAAAATACAGTATGATTCTTATCGCGGATTGCGATCTGTCATGGTTAGGCAAAATAGAACATAATGATGGAATTATTCATTTTCTGATGCACATGTGACTTGCTGTTTTACATGTCACTTGCTGGACATGTGTTGAATATACACGAAATCTATGAATCGCGGATAACAAGAACAAAAGAATATTCTTAAGTTACTCTCGCATTTAGGAATCTACCACAAAAAATCAACTGTAACTACAAAACAAACAATAAACAAATAATATACATAAGTTATTTGATCCCAACAACAAATGTCGCAAAACTAACAGTCTTTTCCAGCAAAACTTGGCTTCCTAAATTTAATCAAATAGTACATTTGTAGTTAAGCTCGTTTGTAGAATGAATCCCGTAGAATGAATTCCGAAATTAGATTTACTTCCGTGGAATAAGCATCCAAAAATATCCGTGAAATATCGGAAGTGAAATATCGATATTTCGATAATATTGCAACACCCCGTTTCACCGGGAAACACACAGAAAACCGGGTCAACCTCTCGATGAAAACAGAAATTTCGTTATTGATCAAATGCATGTCGTGCGTATCGGCGGACGCGCGAAGCTCTTCACGCAAAGCGCTATATTTTTTTGCGAAATGCTTCTCTGGACACAAATAAAGATTTCACGTTTCGCAAACGAGACAAAACCTGCTCGCTCCGTTTCTCTATTATCCTTGATTTCTAGATGTAGCGAAAGTATGTTTTTGTGCGCGGAAAGCAGAAAACACCTTACACCTATTCCAAACTTTCGCAACGCAACGAAAGTCTTATAAGGAAGTTACACCTATTCCAAACTTCCGCGACGCAACGGAAGTTTTGTAAGGAAAAAGAAGGAAGGAGAACGCGCGGAACGTGCTCACGCTTCGAATCCTTAATGAACAAATTCGGCGGTGGAAAATTTTAGACGCATAACTCTCTGCCCTTCATCGCGAAACTTGTAGCTATCGCATCAAATGCGTAGTGAAACGCTCAAAATGGCTCGCTCGCGAGAATGCTTATCAGAATACCGCTGTCCCGGCCGGCGAAGCTCATTAGCGGAGATTTATCGGTTCGGGAAGATTTTTCTCCTGGGTACATTTGTGCAAAGGAGGAGAGCACTTTTCGTACACCGACACCACGCACTTCGTGATAGAGACAGGCGAATGTACTCTATGTGTACACATCAACTTCCCTTCCGTCAGCTGTTGGCGATAGCGATACGACGAGATACGGAAGATCGCGAATGATGAGCAGCAGCGATGAGGCTAGATGCACATGATTTCTCTATGCGTACGATTTTCCTACCTTTGCACTGCCGCTGTATCTCCATCGTCGACACACACACGACGGCGGTGCGTCAAACTGGAAAATTACGTGGCGCACGACGGCTACGGGCGGATGCGATGAGGTGTGCGCGGATAGTCGATAGACACCGACGCCGACGACGGTAGTGACGGGGTCACGGCATCGAGAACTGCAAATGCGCCGTTGCGTCGTCGTCGTCGCCTCCTCGCGGCGTCGACGCCGAGAGCGTGTCCTGGTGTATAGATGTCACAAAACAGTATTTGAAAGATGCGAATCAAAATTACAATTCAGAGATAACACATTGTGCGCATTGCTTATATTCGTGTGATAAAAACAATTTTTGAGAAATTGTATGTAGCTTCTATTTTTATCCCATTACGTTGTTTTAATTTTAATAATTTAGAAATATATACACATAATGCTTGTGTGATATTACGTTAATGTTTCGTTACATATTAATAAATAATGTAATTGATAAATAATGTGGAGAAATCTAACCTATTCTTTTAAGTAGACGATACCACGCTTCTCTTTGACAATATAGGCTGCGGTTACACTTGACGTTATAAATGCTTCGAAGCATTCTTTTCTCCTTTTTTTCAATGAAGAAAGATATAATCCCAGTGATCATAATTCCTACCGATTCTTTACTGACAATGAGCTTTTATAATCATCTATAAATATTACCAACTTATTCGTAAATGTTAGAAAATAAAAAAAGGCTTCTTCATCCTTGTTAAATTTTCATGTGTGATAAATTATCATCAGATGGTATTTTTATGATCGATAAATTATCATCGGAGTATTTCTTACGGTCGATAAGTTTTCATCACATGGTATTTTTTCTTAAAAGATTACACGATTTGCTACGATGTGGCGCGCAAAACGGTACGTCCAACTATTTCCGGTCGTGAAAATATGGCATGGCGATGATATCGCGAAGTCGGTCTTGTCGCGGATTTCGTAAAAAGTCATTGGAAATCGCCGCAGTGAATTTGTAGATTATCTTGCCGAAGTATGTGCATTTGACGCGCGTTTATTTGCAACGCCGGACAATTTGCAATCGGCGACGAAGCGACCTAAATATGAGCAGCGACATATTACCCTCCTGACACTTCGAGCAACGCCAAGTAAAAGGTAAAGCAACGAGATCACGCTCGTTCCTCGATTCAAAATATACCTTGCGCTCGATCTTGATGACGTCCGCAAATTCGGTTCTTATCGAGGCGTCGAGGGATGCACGCTCGCATTTTACTCACGTGCGTCTGCATCGCGGATTACGTCACTTTGCTACGTGTTCAATGAGGTCGATGTGTCTGTTTGGACATTAAATTTTACATTACATGCACTTTTATTTTGTAAATGCACTTAACATTTTGCATCAAACTACAATTGTTTTATGATATCAGTAATTAATACATTTCAGATCATCACGTAAATTCTAAATCGTCTAGTTTAATGCTCTTGGATGCTTTTTTTGATAATTGACTACAAGAATTGTATAATTTTATTTTAAAATATTTAAAACAGTTACAAGTTCACCAATGTCATTCGTTATCACTTTAACAAACTGCGTAATAACTTCGTATAGCATACATTATAGGAACTATTAATATAAATATCGTGGAAAGTAAATCAGTAAAGAAATGAAAGACAATGCTAAGAAAAATTTTAGAATTGATTTTAGATTCTATAATTTTGAATATATAATAATTTTAATAAATGTTTTTTTTTTTTAAATATACTTAATGCATACGACAGAGAACAGAAGAAAACTATAAGAATCCCAGTAAACGCAAAGTAACATTGATGTTATAATTTCCCACTCAACAATATAATTGTTACGTACAAG